ATGAGTGTCTTTGTCTTGGTGAACGCAGACAAGAACTCGGAGCTCTGAGTTTTTAGGCAAGTTGACGATGTTCTTGTTTTGAGAGACAGCGTATTTGATTGAAGGGTTGTACAGATATCTGACTACAAATGGCACAAGAGTTGCAACTAATAAAATGATTAGTGTTAGCCATATGAGAAGCCCATCAGAGATGACCTGAAAGAAGAGAGAAATAAGTTAAAGTGAAAGCTTGGTAATACTATTTCCTAAGAAAGGGGTTTTAGAGAGAAAACATACACTATAGCCTCTGAGAATTGTGATGAAGGCCAATTCCACAATGCCTTTATTGCTCATCAAGAAGGCCAAGGCCAAAGAGTCATGAACAGGGAGGCCGCTATACAACGAACCCAGAAAGCTAGAGATGACCTTGACTGAAAACGTTACAAAGGCAAGAACTATGTTGAATTGTGTAAACACGGTCTTGAACCCCACCAATAGGATTGACAAATCCGCTTGTAAAGCTGACATAGCGATGAAAATTGGTAGGAACAGCTCAGAAACAAAAAAATCGAGCCTTTCAATCATAGAGATGACCAACGGAGAGCCATCAGGAATGATCAAACCCAATAGATAAGGACCCAAAATTGCTGGTTGAGACAACAAAACAGAGACAGCAGAGCTCAACAAAACCAAACACACAACACCTTGAATATTAGAACCACCCACTAGCTTCCCTTTTGGGGTCCTTTTGATCATCCAAACCGTTGCTGGCTTGAACACAAACCAAATCAAAAGGCCCTCAAAAAAGAAGCCCGCTAAATAGAAAAATCCCTTTACAGCACTTAATTGGTACAGTCTTACCACGTTACCAGCTACGAGGGCCAACTGGCTGAGCATGTCACCAACCAATGCTGCTGAGAGCCCCAAACGGCCGATGTCTGAACTGATCATATTGAGTTCCCTTAGAACATTTTCAATGACTGGCAATGAAACCATGCAATGTAAACTGATCATTAAAGACACTTTTTTCTGGCTTGGCCTATCCAAGTATGGAAGCAAAAGAGTTGTCACAAAATGACCACAAATCATTGGGCCAACAAAGGCTGGGAGGGCAACTAGATAGGCCTTTCTTTTGGTCCTTGATAGCATTCTCACGTCCATTTTCAACGCAAGTACGAAGAGATAAAGCATGTAGCCGAAATATGTAAACACTGAAAGCGTGTCTTGGCTCTCAAGTGTAAAAAGTTTGTATCTTTCCCCGTCCCACTGCTTCCATGAACAACCAAATATCAACCCAGCCTGCATTATTGTTATTTCACCAAACCACAAAACAAAAGTTACACAAACATGGATGCTTAATACAATCAAAAGTTTTTTAAAAAATGGGTACTCACAATTATTCGAGAGGAAATCTTGGGGATCCCAAAGTTCTTAAGAACCAAATGAGTAATTGTCATGGATAAACAGAACAAAGCCAACTGTAACTCCAAGCGAGGCAAAGAATAGGAGAGCCACCAATCAGAGAGATTGTAACTTTCCCATAAACCTGGTGAGTTTACATGGATTGGCATAATTATACAAGTTGTTGAATTCATCGTCCTTGACTTCGGATTCAACTGTAGTTTCGTCCGCCCTCAAGAACAACACCAAACTCACAGCCACCTGAAGAGAAATGAGAAAGCTAAGGAAAGAAGATGTTGAATTACAACACAAAATGGGTTTCCTTTTTAAATGTCTTTCTCTATGTGGTCAGTTGGTTAGCAACCTGTTGAATATAACCAAACAACAAATTAAGGAAACAACAAACCTTTGTGTCGTATCATTACATTAGGAGTTTGTTTTTTGTAACTTCTTTTTTGGCTTACGGTTCGACAAATTTACTAATATGAAATGATTATCCAAGACAATGTTAATATGCCTAAATTAAATTTTAACAGATTTAACCGTTAACTACAGCTCAATCATGAACATTATATTGCTGTGTTTTTTCCTTACTATTGATTGTTTGTTATTCATGAAACTCTTTTTTTGTCGTCTCAGGTGCAAGGAGAAATTTATTATAATTTCAAAATAACACGCGACATGTAATAGTCCAAGTTCACCGCTAGTAGATATTGTTCATTTTGATCCATTACGTATCGTCGTCGTCAGCCTCATGACTTTAAAACGTGTCTACTAGAGAGTGGTCTCCACACTCTTATAAGAAATGTTCCGTTCTCTCCAACCAACGTGGGATCTCACAACCTTCCTTCAATAATTGTTGAACGACCCTCTTTAATTGTATGACCATTCATATTGTTTTTCTATCTATTTTCTTTAAAGGGTATACAAGTCAACTCGTTAAGACATATGTTACATAAGAGAGCATCCGAGTGAAGACGATAAATCAACACCAAATCTTTCAATATGGTTAATTTGTTTCGATCACATGTTTGTTACAAAAAAAAAAAAAAAACTTTAAGAAGCCATTTAATCTAAGATTGCATAATCCTATTAGTATAAATAGTAAACCGTCAAATCTTATATGTCTTCCATTTAGAATACACAAAGGAAAATAATGATGAATGAAGAAAATAATAATAATAATGAATATATAATACAAGTATAACAGAGCTTCTGGAAATGAAATCTCTGCCAATTTTTAAGAAGGAAAAGAAGAGAAAAAAAAAAGTCCCATTTGAATGAAACAACCACACCATCTTCCCTTTCAACTCGCTCACTTGAAAATGTAATTCATAATCGGAATTGAATGCTGTTAGTGTTCTTCTGCGTTTGGTGCTTTCGGAAGTTGCATCAATGGATGATATAAGTGAGCGCTAAAGCCAGCAGCATTAGAATATATGCTATGCCTTGGTCTATTGTGGTGCCTGCAACATATGAAATCGCAAGTCTTATTAGCAGAAAAAGAAAGAGTAGATTTTGTTTTGTATTGAAGCAATAAGCAGAAAAGCAGGAAGAAGAGAGAAGTAACCATCACTAGTGGGGGCTGGGGCTGGAGCTGGAAAAGATGAATGTTCCGCTGCAGCAGATACAGGCAACATAACAACATAAACCACAGCAATAATCACAGCATAGATCCCAAAACAAGCCCTCAAAACACCCATCTCTCTGTCTTTGGCGATTATTCAATCCAATGCTGAGATACACAAGAACAAGAACAAGAACAAGAACAAGGGTGTGTGGAGATGAAGGGATTGGGGTTTATTAATAGTGTTTGGGTTTGGAGCGCAAGTTTTGGGAATCCCACGCAAACCCATGTGATGATTCTTCATTCATTCACAGATTCCTTCTTTTTTATGCTCTTGCTTTGCTGGATCTTCGATGTACTTATCCTTTGCTGCCACTGTTTTTTTTTTTTTTCACTCTTGTCCTATCTACTTCTCTGCAATGATTTGGAATTCTAAGCTGACAACAGAATGTTTAGCATACATTACTCAAGCAATTTCACCTTCATTTTGGGTCCTACATTATAGTATTATGTTGAATGAATTGTTGTTGCCAGTTCAAAAGAGCTTTATATTGTGTGTATTGCTGCCAGTTCATTAGAGCTTTATATTGTGATTGATTGATTGATGAACAGAGAGCTTTAGTCCAATGTTTGGTGTCGTTAGAAAGAAACCAATATATAAAATTTATGGAGAAACTGTTTGTTGAGACCATTCTGTCATCACATGGGTACCATCTTCATAATGACTACTACCAACCGCAATCATTGTTAGATATTCAACAAAGATTTTCTTATTCCTGTTGATTATGAGTGTCTGAATTATTTTCATATACTTTGGGAATTCCTTCATTCAGATAATGCCTTTGCCTTACAGGTCAAGAGAAAAGATCTTTACTTCCATATGTCTGGAACCACTGCTTGGAGTAATGGGTGGCTAAGTTTCTGCAGAGCTCAATTGCCTCCAGGTCATACTCCTCCAACTGTGTTTAGGTGCTTTGGGTTACTAAACAGAAAGAAACCATCATCATGAGTATTGGGTTGGAAATGATACTTTGATAAATATTGTCTTGTATCGTTATCAACCTCACGGTTATAAAACACGTTTACTAAGGAGAGGTTTCCACATTCATATAAGAAATGCTTCGTTCCCCTTTTCGACCGATGTGAGATCTCAAAATCCACCCTCTTTGGGAGGCCAGTGTCCTCGCTGTCACGTCACTCGGTGTCTAGCTCTAATACCATTTGTAATAGTCCAAGCCTATGACTAGTAGATATTGTCTGCTTTGACCCATTACGTATCACTATCAACCTTATAGTTTTAAAACGCGTCTACTATGGAGAGGTTTCCACACCCTTGTAAGGAATGATTCGTTCTCCTCTCCAACCGATGTAAGATCTCACATTTTCTTTCCACTTTCTTTCTCACAGTAATTTTTTAGCGACACTAAACGCCTCCTTACAAGGGTTGCACTAACCATAACTTTGTTATAATTAGGGTCGTCGTTCAATTCTAAACTTATTTGTGGACTTTTCGTTTTCTAAAAAGGCAATCTCTTCATTAGAATATTATCGTCAAACCTTGAATATGTCAATATATGAAATTGATAGAACACCGACGTTCTATAATAGTATGATATTATTTACTTTATTAAGTATAAGCTTTCATGACTTTGTTTTTTTCGTTTCTCCAAGAAATCTCTTACCAATGGGGACGGTATTCATTCTTATAAATCCGTGATCTTTCTCTTAATTAGCTAAATCAAGATTATTCTTCTCAATAATTCTCAACATACCAGAAATGTTTATATATTTTTTAAAAAAGAATTGAACCTAAAGATGATAAACTAAATTTATAATTTAATAGAAAAAATAATATAAAGAAAAATTCAATTTTTATCTATAAAACTTGTTTTTATTAGTTTTCATTTTCATTTTATTGAGCTCTAAATTTAAATTTAAATAAGTGTTAAGCAGTTTTAAATCCATATAAAATCCACTATTCAAGTTTCAAATTTAGCTCTAAAAGAAAAAAAAAATTAGGGTTAAATTTGATTTGGTAGTTTACCCTAGGAAAAACTTAATCTTAATGCTGTTGTCGTAGTCGAGGAGGATTGTCGCAAGTCCAGGAGTTCCAACAGTTCTCGCTCAATCAGCTATTCTTCAAGCTTGCAAGTCGCATCTACAATTGTTTTTACTCAAGAAAGAATGCCCATTTCACAATGAATGTCTTCAAATATCATCACCACTTCCGCCTGCAGATTCTCGGAAGGCTTCTCCTAAATTATTTCGTTGGTGAAGGGCCTTCTATCAGTAGCCGAATTGGGTCCAAACAATGCTTCGGCAATCACTCAGAAGATCAGCAGATGACGGAATTCATGGAATACTTAGATTCTCTGAAGAACTACGAGAAGTTGGGTGTGCCCACAGGCGCAGGGACGGATTCTGAGGATGGGTTCGATCTCGGAAGGATGAAAAGACTGATGGAGCGCCTGGGTAATCCACAATCGAAGTTTAAGGTTGGTCATTTATGATGATTAACTCTTTACTTTTCTTAGTTTTCACTAAATTTTGAAGTTTTGGACCGACCCATTTCCTTTGCAATTCACTAAATTTAGTCTTTTATTCATATTAATTCTCTCCTCACTTGTGATGGATATCAATACCAATCGATGGGAAATGATACTACCAATGTTTGAACATTGCATATGAAAAGTTTAAGCTGTTAGTGACTGATGGTAGGACAATTATAGGCAATTCACATTGCGGGAACCAAGGGAAAAGGGTCGACTGCGGCCTTCCTGTCTAACATTTTACGAGCAGAGGGATACTCTGTTGGTTGTTATACTAGGTACAGCCTTGTTGCAACACTTACCAAATTTTTCGTATACTCCTACTTGGAAGTGATTTGAGAAGGCATAACTTTGTGCTTGTGAATTTCTTCATGTGCAGTCCTCATATTGAAACTATAAGGGAACGTATTTCGCTCGGAAGATCTGGAGAGATGGTCTCTGGAAAGGCACTAAATTTTCTTTTCAAAAGGAACAAAGAGTTACTTGACCAATCGGTAAAACTTGAAAATGGACGTATAAGCCACTTCGAGGTATTATATCATGCAGTCTGTTGTTGTGATTGAAAATTCTATAATAACTCAAATGGATTTTATGCTGCTTCTGATTCTTCTAGTTGATTTGATTAAGCGAAATGCTGTTCCAAGTCTAGATTTTCACTCTATAAATTTGTTTGTCTCGTGATCATTTATTTCACACTGGATATGTACTTCATACATGTTTGATATATCCTGCATCTTTTTGGGTTTGGTTTCATTTAGGAAGATATAAATTGTTCATGTTAATGATAAGCCTGGACTCCTCATTGGACCCATGCAGTCATTCATGTTTTCTTCGATCTTTTAGACGAGCTGATGAAATTCTCCCAGGTCCTTACTGCTATGGCATTTTCACTCTTTGCTCAAGAGAATGTTGATGTTGCAGTCATTGAGGTTCACTTTCTTTTGGACTAATTTTTCTTTGCCAAGTATTTTCGTATGTCTTAAGAAAATCGACAATATGTTCTTATTTAAACTGAAACAGGCTGGACTTGGTGGTGCACGAGATGCAACAAACATTATTTGTAGCTCTATACTTGCTGCTGCAGTCATAACTTCAATTGGAGAGGAACACATGGCTGCTCTGGGTGGCTCTTTGGAAAGCATTGCAATGGCAAAGGCTGGAATAATTAAACATGGATGTCCGGTTAGGTTGTTTTCTTGATGTAGTTTTCATGCTGATTGACTTTGTTCAGCCTTTGGTATTCATTATCCTTGCATTAGTTAAGTTTTTCCTTTTCCAATGAGGTAACGTGGCCTACAAGAAGAGAAAAGGGGACTTAAAGTCAGCCTGAACTTACTTAAGACTATGGAGGTTACAAAGATGTAATCTAAATAGCCTTAATTATTGTTTAAAATAATAATTGTTGTTGGTAGAATAAGTTGCAATTTTGTTGCAATGAACTTTAAGCATAAGAATATTGAACTACATTTTGTGTGGGATCCCACATCGATTGGAGAGAGGAACGAGTGTCAGTGAGGACGCTAGACCCCAAAGGGGGGTGGATTGTGAGATCCTGCATCGATAGGGGAGGAGAACGAAACATTCTTTATAAGGGTGTGGAAACCTCCCCTAGCATACGCGTTTTAAAATCTTGAGGGGAAGCTCGGAAGGGAAAGCCTAAATAGTACAACATCTGCTAGCGGTGGGCTTGGACTGTACGAATGATATCAGAGCCAGAACACCGGGCGGTGTGCCAGTGCGGACGTTGGCCCTGAAGGGGGGTGGAATGTGAAATCCTACATCGGTTGGAGAGAGGAACAAGTGCCAGCGTGGATGCTGGACCTCGAAGGAGGTAGATTGTGAAATCCTACATCAGTTGGGGAGGAGAACGAAACATTCTTTATAAGGGTGTGGAAACCTCCTTATAGTAGACGGTGTGCCAACGAGGACGTTGGGCCCCAAAGGGGATGAACACTGGGCGGTGTGCCAGTGAGGACACTGGCCCCGAAAGGGGATGGATTGTGAGATCTCACATCGATTGGAGAGAGGAACGAGTGCCAGTGAGGATGCTGGACCTCGAAGGGGGTGAATTGTGAGATCCTACATCGGTTGGGAAGGAGAACGAAACATTCTTTCTAAGGGTGTGGAAACCTCCTCTTAGCAAACGCGTTTTAAAACCTTGAGGGGAAACCCGAAAGGGAAAGCCCAAAGAGGACAATATCTGCTAGTGGTGGGCTTGGGCTATTATGAATGGTAAGAGCCAGACACCAAGCAATGTGTCAACGAGGGCGCTAGGCCCCGAAGGGGGCGAACACTAGGCGGTGTGCCAGTGAGGACGCTAGTCCCGAAGAGGGGTGGATTGTGAGATCCCATATTGATTGGATAGAGGAACGAGTGTCAGCGAGGATGCTGGAACCTGAAGGGGGTGGATTGTGAGATCTTACATTGGCTAGGGAGGAGAATGAAACATTCTTTATAAGGGTATGGAAACCTCCCCCTAGCAGACGCGATTTAAAACCTCGAGGGGAGGCTCGGAAGGGAAAGCCCAAAGAGGACAATATCTGCTAGCAATGGGCTTGAGATATTACAAATGATATCAGAGTTAGACATCAGGTGATGTTCTAACGAGGGCGCTAGGCCTTGAAGGGGGTGAACATTGGGCAGTGTGCCAGTGAGGACACTGGTCCCGAAAGGGGTGGATTATAAGATCCTACATCGGTTGGGGACGAGAACGAAACATTCTTTATAAGGGTGTCGCCTCCTTCTAGCAGACACATTTTAAAACCTTGAGGGGAAGCCTGGAAGGAAAAGCCTGAAGAGGATAATATCTGCTAGCGATGGGCTTGGGCTATTACAAATAGTATCAGAGCCAGACACCAGGCAATGTGCCCACGAGGGCGCTGGACCCCGAAGTGGGTGAACACTGGGTGGTGTGCTAATGAGGACGCTGGCCTCGAAGGGGATGAGCACTGGGCGGTGTGCCAGTGAGGACGCTGGCCCCAAAAGGGGGTGGATTGTGAGATCCTACATCGATTAGAGAGAGGAACGAGGAAGCCTAGAAGGGAAAGCCAAAAGTGGATAATATCTGTTAGTGGTGGGCTTGGACTATTACAAATGATATCAGAGCCAAACACTAGGCGACGTTCCAACAAGGGCGCTAGGCCCCAAAGGGGGATGAACACTGGGTGGTGTGCCAGTGAAGAGGCTGGCCGAAAGGGAGGTGAATTGTGAGATCCCACATCGATTAGAAATAGGAATGAGTGCCAGCGTGGACGCTAGACCCAAAGGGGGTGGGTTGTGAGATCCCACATTGGTTAGGAAGGAGAACGAAACATTCTTTATAATGGTGTGAAAAACTCCCCCTAGCAGACGCGTTTTAAAACCTTAAGGAGAAGCTCGAAAGGGAGAGCACAAAAAAGACAATATCTGTTACAGTGAGCTTTGGCTGTTACTGTTGTTTGTCAGATTCTATTGCCATATAGAGAGGTATCAAATCAATTAACCTAAAAGCAACCTGCATGAAAAGTTTTTAGAGGCTTTCATAGTTCAGTGCCTTTTATATGGTCTCCAAGGGGCATGAAATTTTCTCTCCCATAGTTGTTGACGCAAGTTTTTGTGATCGTGTGTCTGTTTGTGTGAGAGAAACTTATTCTCCAATTCCTTTTGTAATAAGGTTGTCTTTTTTATTTTAACTGATTTCTCTTCTGAAATTTATTCCTAAAATGCTCCTCAAATTCAATGTCAGACCATTCTGGGTGGTCCTTTCATTCCAAATATTGAGTGCATTCTTCGCGACAAAGCATTGTCCATGTCTTCGCCTGTAGTATCAGCCTCAGATCCTGGAAATAGAAGTACCATAAAAGGTGTAAGCCTGCTCAATGGAAGACTTTGCCAATGCTGCGACCTAATAATCCAAACAGACGATGAAGTATGACCCTTATATTCTATTAAACGAATATAAATTTGACTCCTTGAACGTCTAACAAGAGTTCCTTTTTCTCATTGTCAATGCAGTTCATTGAGTTATTTGATGTCAACCTCCGCATGCTTGGACGTCATCAACTTCAGAATGCAGCAACTGCAACTTGTGTTATTCTTACTCTCCGCAATTTAGGTAATATCATTTCGAACATTTGATTTGATATCCGTACCATCATTTAGGGAATAAACTTGTGATGTGTGATGATTTCCCAGATTCATTTACTGAAGATAATAGCTACTGCAGATAAGATACTTATGATTGCTTGCTTTTAGATGATATGTGATGAAAGTTACAGTATAGTTTATTGGATCGTATACTTCCTTTTAATATTTTCCTATTGTGATGAATAATTCAGGTTGGAGAATTTCAGATGCATCTATTAGGAGTGGACTAGAGAAAACATTCTTGGTCGGTAGGAGTCATTTCTTATCAGCCAAGGAAGCTGGGATGCTTGGACTACCTGGAACAACAATATTGCTTGATGGAGGTGCATTCATACTTATGTTTACTGACAAGTTTTGTCTGTTGGGTTGGAGGTGCAGTCTTTTTAATTGGTTTCGTTAACTGTTTTCTCAGCCCACACCAAAGACTCTGCTAAAGCATTAGTGGACACCATTCAAATGAGTTTTCCCGATGCTCAATTGGCTCTCGTGGTTGCAATGGCTAGTGATAAGGATCACAATGGTTTTGCCACAGAATTTCTTCAATGTATAGCCTTCCCCTTCGAAGAGTTGGTCACTCATTTTCTTTGCCACAGAGTTTGAAACTGAAGATGTATATTGCTTGATTGTAAATGATGGCAGTTTAAACGAAACAATCAGTTTCTGTAGAGATTATGTTAAACAAACATTCCATATGTTATGCACTGTCATGAAATCTTGGTTGTTTATCTGTATTTTCTGATGTTGTGCGATGTAGCGATGTAATGCTGACAGTCAGCAGTTGACTGAATTTCAGGTGGAAAATTGGAGTCCATTGTCTTAAGTGAAGCCAATATTGGTGGAGGCAAATCAAGGACAACTTCAGCTGCTCTTCTAAGGGACTGCTGGATCCAAGCATCCAATGAAATGGGGATCCCTACACAGACCTCGTTATTGACTACAGAGACCTCGTTATTACGTGCCATAAAAATCGCTGCTGAGATTCTCAAGCAGAGAACCGAAGGGCGGCGAGGCCTTGTCGTAGTAACTGGCTCCCTGCATGCTGTTTCAATGGTGTTATCTTCTCTTCATTCTTGAAGCCTTTTACTTATGAAGGCACTTCATTGGATGAAGTTTAAGCAAAGTTCCATAGATTTGCAGATTATTTTGGTAGAATGTTTGGTATGAATTATTTGAGGTATTTTCTGTCATACTTTTTTGAGAAGAATAAATATGTTTATAAAAGTATAAATGCTGTTGTTTAATTACCCTATGCTTTCAGAACTTCAAAGCTATTCTGAACGCTATGTTGACATTCCAATTGCTGTGTGCAGAGCCATTAGTGAACCATAAAGAGCATACTGAAAAAGAGAGGTCTAATGGGTAGCCATTATCTTTCACCTTTTCTCAAGTTTTTTACGCTTTTACCTCTCACGCCTGCCTCCCACACTCCTCTCTCTCTACCCAGTACCTACTCATTGTCGTTACCATCTATCTAAATTGCATTTTGACGGTGTTTGTCTTGAATGAATTACTTCTAAGCATGAAGATTGTCTAAAGAGGGGCATTTTAGCTTACTTTGTAATCATTCACATGCTTCCTAAAATTTTTTTAGAATGTCACTTAATATAGAAATATTTTAAGCTAAATACACTTCTATGGAGTAAGATACATTTCATGATGGTCAAGATTTGACTGAGTCACTAAAAGAATAAGGGGTCTAAAGCTTTTCTTTCAAGTATTTGTTGATCACTTTCATTTAGATATGGACTCATTTTATTTATGAATCTTTTTTTTTTTATTTAGGGCGTTACAAACCATCACAATCCTTTTGGTTCGGTCTTAGTCTATCCATGCTATTTTGGCTTTCTAACTCAAGTTTTTTTTTTTGAGGATTGTAGCATGGTGTCGTGTGAGATTTGTCAGCTAATTAGAGTAAGTAACGAGGCTTCAATTCCCTTTTAAATTCACCGAGGATGGTGTACTATTTGCTTTCTACGCTTTCGAGCTAAGTTAGAAACTATTTGATGATATTTTTTACTTCGCCAATACAGATACTATGTGATATGTATCATGATCGAAAACGATCATATCCATTTACATAGATAATTAATAAGATCAGAGTTGCAAAAATGTTTGCGAAAAGCATTTGAGTGGTAATTGATTAAATTTACTGTTTTACTTTTTTATAGCAACAATATGATGTGTTTGACCTGTTGTGAATGAATGCACACAATTCTTCTAGATTATACTATGGTTTCTTGTCATGTTTGTGTATATACATGTCATTTGTTATGTCTTTGTCGCACGAAATTGAATATAATTACAAAATTCAACCAAAGTTTTCTTTTTTCTTTTGACAGCAAAAAGAATCAACTTTAAGTTTAAGTCCAGACACCAACCTAACCACGGGTAAATAGAGAGGAAAGATCTCCAAAGATTCTGTTTCATTCCGGTAACTTGTCTAGTAGCTAATTAAGTTTGGAGACGGTGATTTGAAACTCTTGGTCATTGATCATTACAATTTATTTAAAGGTTCCGACTAGAGTCGACAGAAAGACGAAATCATAACCTAAGTGAGTAAGAGATAAATCTCAGGAGTTTCATTTTGAAGTTAAAACCAAGGACTGAGATTCTAAATATATAGAGACAAGGTGAAGATTTTGTGTGATGTGAACTTTTAGAAAGAAGAAGAAGAACAGGTTTCACACTTGTCCCATTGAACAGTTGGAAGCTCTAAAACAAACAGAATGAACACTGTTATCAAAACCCTAAATTTCTTCATCTTCCAATGAACACAAGAACAGAATTTTTTTTGGGAAAAAGATAGATTCTTTCATTTTTGGGTATTAAATACGAATGATCATTCTCATAGGACCCACCGTCCCACCGTCGCAGTGAGCAAAGTCTAGAAAGCTTCAAAATTTTAAACCATGAAATGATTCAAACTGCATAGAATCTGATCAACTATTCACCTTTCTTCATGGTTGGAAGAGCCTACATCACTCAAAGCTGACCATTCCTCATCTCAAAAACAAAAACCCATAAAGAAAAAAAATTACTCTTTTGTTTTTCTTTTTGTTTCTTTGTGTGTAACTTTGAAACCACTGAACACAGGCTTTCCATCATTGGAGATTCTTGTATGCATATAAAAGTCAACTTTTGATGCACTGTCAGATCTTGGTTACAGTGGGCGGTGGCTGAAATATTGGATTTAATTAAAAAGGAAGAGGGATTAAAAAGAAGTGAAAAAGGGTTATTGTTGAGAGAAGAAGATAGAAAGGTGGTAGGAGGCAAAAATAATAAAAAGAAGACATTCTTTTTTTGGGGGGGGTGGGGGGTGGGGCTAAGAGGTATAAACTCACCACTGCATTTTCCCAACCACCCAGAACCTGACGGGTCATTGCTCACTAAATGAACAAAAAGTAAACCCCTATTCAAAAAACTTTGTCTTTTACTTTCCAAAAGATCGTACCACACAAACACAAACCCAACAGGACATTGTATATTGTGTGTTACATTCATGTTTGTTGGGACACAAATTTTGAAGCCTTTCAATCAACACACAACCACTGCTCATCATGATGCATGTCGGTCTCTCTTTTTTCCTCCACCTTCCTCAAAAGTTTGTAACCGTCTAAGTTTACCGTTAGTAAATATTGTTCGCTTTAACTCGTTATGTATTGTTGTCATCCTCGCAATTTTAAAATACGTTTACTAAAAAGAGGTTTCTACACCCTTATAAGGAATAATTCGTTCTCCTCTTCAACCAATGTGGAATCTCACAATCCACTCCTTGAGGGTCAGTGTTCTTGTAGACACACTGCTCGGAGTTTGACTCTGATACCATTTGTAATAGCTCAAGCCTACCCTAATAGATATTGTCCCCTTTGATCCGTTACATATCGTCGTCAGTCTCACCGTTTTAAAATAGAGGTTTTCACACCTTTATAAATAATATTTCGCTCCTCTTACAAAAATCTTCCCATTTTACTGCGGCTTTCAAAAACCCTCTTTTGTCTTATTATGTAATATCTGAATGGAAGGGGGGTGAAATAAAAAATAACCATGTTCTTGCAAGGGAGTGGAGCTTTGAGATGCCACAGTAGGGCCTCTTGAATTTGTGAGAGAAAAAGAAACATGATGAACACCACAGACGGTACTGTTTCTAAGGGGGAGAGAGAGAGAGAGAAGAAAGGGCTAGAAAGTGGTAGGAAAATACTGTAAAAATTTACAACAACTCAAAGTTTGGTCCTACACCTTTAATCTACCAATTCACTGGGAGACCAACATTCTTAGCCTCTCTTGTTTAGAACATATTCATTTGGCTGATCTCTTCTGATTTGCAGCCTTTTGAATTAGTGAGCTTTCTGGGAGGATTTCGTTTTATGGGTTGCATGGGAAACTTAATCTTAAACACCCATACGGGAAAAATTAAGGGTTGAATAATAGATAAAATGAAGGACGGAAGGTGGAGGGACTGGCAGCTTCCAACGGTTACAGGACATGAATGGGGACAAGTCATCCAAAATGGGACATCGAAATCTAATATGTAATCAACATTGTGGGACCCAACTCCACGTCTGCCACATGGCCGATCATAGCCACACACAATTTCCGAGGTTGTCCAACATCTCTTCAAACCCTAAACAATCTACCTCAAACTTATCTGATTAGATCCCCACAGTCTAACTATTATCGAATTAATCAAATCAAATCCAAATGCTTCTTTGAAGATTAAGAACACAGAGTTCGAGCCATTCATGGAGGAGAAGAAAGAATAAGGTTTTGAGAGAGGAGGCGGAAGAAGAAGAAGAAGAAGAAGAAGAAGGATTGTGTAATTAATAGTGGGGGGAGAGTAATGTAAAGGTGATACATTTCGTGGGTGCGTATTGAATGAGGCATTCAGGTAAGGAAATGAGGAGAGAGGAGGGGAGTGATTGGGGATTGGGCCATGCAATTGAATATAATATTTAAGTATTGTTTTTAAATTTTGTCCCACATTCCACATCCTTAATGGTGCAGGGTGACATAAATGATGAAGGGACCTTATTGCTTGAATCTTAATGTAGCTTCATATGTTCATATATGTACAAATCTTTGTGTCTATTTATTATGCCTTTATAAAGCCTATCATACATACGCTGTGAATGCCCTGATCAATTCTATTCTTTACAAACATCCCTTTTAATATTCTAATTAAACTCATATTGCTTCTAGGGTCGTGTAGGGTTTAGGGAGAGAGGAAAAGTGTTTAAAAGGAAAGAGGAAGCAGGCAATTACTTCTCTCCCCCATTTGTGACCGAGTGTGGGGTGCTGTGGCAGCTCTGTGTGGCCACCCACCCCCACAGCAGAGTAAAAAAGGGAAGGGGAGGGAGATTAATTAATTAACTAGTTATAATGTATGATTCCATGAAGGAATGATGTATTATGTAGTGTAATGATATTAAATGGGGGAGGGAGAAGTAAATGAGAATGGCAGGGGGAGGGGAGAGAAGAGAAGAGAAGAGGAAATGTGATGCGGATGGGTGTGGGCAGAAATGTGCAAGTTGTGTTAGTTTTGTTACAAATATTGAATACCATATTACTTACGTCGCTTTCCTCTTTATGTCGATGTGTTGTGAATTTCTGAACCTCTTTCAATGTCCACACACACGCCATCTCCGTGCTTCCTCTCAATATCCTCACACCTCACTCCTCACTCTCTTATTATATCATCTTTTTTGCTAAATCCTTCTGCTACTAAATATCTGCTGCATGCATGGGTTCCTGTTATCATAAACCATCCTGCTTTTATTTCCAACCTCATAAACTAAGCTTACAATCATTCTAATGCCTCATGTGTTCATTCATTTTATCACTCTTAAACAAACCCCATTGATGGACGCTTGTTATTCCTTTTCTATCTCTCACAATCGTCGTCAGTCTCACGGTTTAGAAGAGGTTTCCACACCTTTATAAAGAATGTTTCGTTCTCTTCTCTAACCGATGTGAGATCTCATAATCCAAACGCGTTTATTAGAGAGAGGTTTCCACACCCTTATAAGAAAATGTTTCGTTTCCACACCCTCTCCGATGTGTGATTTCACAATCCATTCCATTGGGGCCAGCGTCCTCACTAGCACATCGCCTAGTATCTGACTATAATACCATTTGTAGCAGCTCAAATCTACCACTAATGGATATTGTCTGCTTTAGCCCGTTACGTAGCACCGTCAACCTCACAATTTTAAAACGTGTCCGATAGGAATAGGTTTCTACATCTTTTATAAAAAATGTTTCTTTCATGGAATCTCTTACTCTATGTATGTATATAAATGGAATGGAATTTAATGGGCTGCACAAGAATGGAAGGGTGATAGATATAGAAGGGAGATGAGATAATGGGAGAGAGAGAACAAAAAGTAGAGGGGGTTAATGTGAAAGCAAAAATTAACGAGTTTAATGCTGTGCATTCATAGACAAATTAAGACATGGGAATGTTCTGATTGCTATGTATAGATTTGAGCACCAAAAATGAGTTCCTAAACATGACTTGCTTCTATTGTACTCAACATTAAGATCTTCATATGCCCAATCCGACACAGAAAGGATTCAAATCAGTCTGCTTTATTATTATTATTAACATAAGCAAAACACATAAAGTTGTGGGCTTTAACATCTGATCATTAGGGAATCATGAGAAATGGAGTCTGAGCTCTGTCTGGGTGTGTAGTACAAACATGGTACCAGACAATTAAGCTTTGAGAGACGGGAAGTGAAAGCCAAGCTACAGTTTCCAAGGAGAGATAATGAAACAACCAAATTTGTCAAACAATCTATTTTACTCAAACCATTTCAATTCCATGTTTATAAGAACCAACCCTTTTAATATGATTTCAATTCCATCTTTCTTCTTGGCCCGTCTGATCCTCACTTATCCAACGGTTAGCATTTCAAGAGGGCTACAATATGTTGATGGTGATAGTTTAGTCCCTTTCATATTCTCCCCTTCCTCTTATTTACTTCCCCTTAGGCACCCTCTCTTGATCTTGACAATATATTTTTTCCTCCATTTTCCTCTATCTATCTGGGTCCTTTTCTTTCCCTTTTTCAACACAAAAGCTCCAAACTTTGTGTTTCTTTAGCCCAACAGAACAAAAGGGTACCACGATGGTTGATAATTTAGCTGATTTTTTCCAACAAAATGAAGAATTTGTCGACCATACCACAAACCCCCAGTTGGAAGGAGGATATGACCTCTTCAGCATCTTTGATACTTTGGAGAATGTTGCAGAATTCAGTATGATCGAGGACGACACCGAGCTTGAGACTTCCCCTAAAACCAAGCGCTTGAAAGTGACGGCAGCGACGTCTCCGACCACCGCTATGGCTGGTGTCTCTTCCTCAGAGGATGCAAACCCTGACGGAGCACAAAGAATGTCTCACATCACGGTAGAGCGCAACCGTAGGAAGCAAATGAACGAGCACTTGTCGGTGTTGAGATCGCTCATGCCTTGTTTCTATGTCAAGAAAGTATGTTGAAATTTTTTGAGAATATGATTTCATTTCAGGGTTTTGTGTTGAATAACATTATATTGTTGTTGAATGTGGTTTTAGGGAGATCAAGCTTCAATAATTGGAGGGGTGGTGGAATACATCAAAGAGTTGCAACAAGTTCTTCAATCACTAGAGGCCAAAAAGCAAAGGAAAGTGTATAGTGAAGTGTTGAGCCCTAGGGTTGTTGTTTCAAGTCCAAGGCCTTTCCCAATGAGTCCAAGAAAGCCACCACCACTAAGTCCTCGCCTTAACTTGCCAATTAGTCCAAGAACCCCACAACCCACTAGCCCTTACAGCAAGCCTCCAAGGTTGCAACAGCCTCCCACCACCGATATGGCTAATAACAACAACAGCACAGGCGAGCCATCGCCCTGTAATTCATCTTCCACCACAAATTCCTCCATTGACAATGGTAACAATGGTAACAATGATCTTGTGGCGAATTCAAAATCCGGCATAGCTGAGGTTGAGGTGAAGTTTACAGGTCCAAATGTGGTTTTGAAGACAGTTTCTGCACCGATCCCTGGACAAGCTGTGAAGATCATTGCTGCCCTTGAACAACTCTCACTTGAAATTCTCCATGTCAAGATCACCACCGTTGATGATACCATGTTTAACTCTTTTACAATTAAGGTACACAATCTTTTTTTATTTGATTTTTTCAAAACTAAGTTTATAAACACAATTTCAAAACCAAACAAAAGATGTTTTAATTATCAAAGGGGAGTGAAGTTACTAGCTTTCACTACTCTTTGGCCTCGTTTTCCGTGCAGCTTTCCTTTTTTTTTTTTTTTTTTTTTTTAAATTCTTGTTTTATGAGAATCATTTCGTAACTCATTAAGGGTTTTGGGTTTAAGAGAATTGAAGTCATCAATTTGAGAAAGATTTCATCTGGGGTTTTCTTCTCTTAAAAAAAAAAAAAGAATTTCATTGAAATGATATGTGGGTTGTGTTTCGTTTTGTGTATTTTGAGCACAAGCACCAAAGCACTCCATTGTTTGCCATGTTGAAGGTTCGTTTAAGCTCACAGATGGCTTCCATGCATGAACAAAAAATGGCTCGAATTGCCGTGCTGAAATGATACCCATTTTTGCATGTTCAGAGGAGAAAAATCCCAGCTTTATACGCAAATTTGCATCTTTTTTCGTTTTATCTTCACTGAGGGATTGTTTATTTTACTTTTATAGATCGGAATTGAATGCCAACTTAGTGCAGAGGAACTGGCTCACCAAATTCAGCAAACATTCTGCTAATTGAAGTCCAGAATTGGAGGAGGAGGAGGAGTTTTGGTTACTTAATTGTGTCTGCACAAAGGGAATCCTCTTAACAAATTAATGTAACTCTCTTTCTTCAATTCTTTTTTCAACCAAAATTCCTCTTTTCATTTATGTAATAGATAGACGCAATCTCATCCCTCTCATCATCAAAAACTACTAAAAACTCCTAAGCTTCTTTTCTAATCATATTCACTATATTAACATTATCACTGCATCTTTTGTTTATTTATTTATTGTTATATAGTTTTCAATCAGTGATTGGGGAGCACAGAGCATTAACATAAAGCTGAATCTATAAGCTATATGTATATATCTATATATATATATATATATATATATATATATATATATATATATATATATATATAGCTTCTGTGTTTCTGTGAAACAATTTAATTTTCCCCCAATCTAGTGAAAAAGGGTGGGCCTTTATACATTAAAAATAATTATAAAAAAAAAAAGTAAATTCTAGAAAGAAAAAAGAATAATCCCTAAAGCTTTGGGCCCAATGATTTGGTGGGCTTCCTCCTTGTTATGGCCCAAACATAATGGGCTTAGGGCTCATCACTGTATTGTTGTATACAAGTCTGTTGGGCCTTCATGACCTCACCCCCAAAAGAAATTATAAGGAAAAAAAAAAAAATCCGTACTTGGAATGAAGTTACTAAAATATTCTCAAAACAAAACAAACTATCAAAAGTTGTAAAAATAATAACTTGTAAGATCAAAGGAAGGAGATTTAGGAGAAGAAATTTGTGTTGTGGAATGTGAAAGTTGGCTCCATTTGAAGCTCGCCGAATGGGAAGTCTAAGCCAGGAGTTGCAGAGTTTGAAGCTGAAGTTGGTGAGGAAAAAATCTCAGAAAACTCGGATTTGTTTGGCTGCAAATCCAACTTCTGATGATGCCCAATAAATCCTTCACTCAACCCACTTGAGGATGCAGAGAAATAGCTCAACCCAGATCCAGATGTTGGGGGGGACAAAAATGGAGGAGGAGAGAACTTGGAAAAGTTGACGTTGGCTCTCAATGTCGACCCGGACTCGACACGGTCTGCCTCATAATTTGACGTGGGATCATAGTTAAAAGGATGGAATAATGTTGGATCATGAGTTTTGTCAAGGTTTTCAGTTATGACTCTTAAGGATGGCCAGGAGCTCAAGAGAGCATCAGGCGATGTTTGTTGGTTTTGGACCCTTTGATCAGGTAGTAGAGGGTGGTTTTGTTGCTGAAACTCTGTGCTTGCAGATGGAATAACTTGGGTGCAACTATGGGTTCCTCGGTACGTGATCTCGAAGACGTTTGGATCGTGATCAGACTGTTGAACTTGTTTGGTTGCAAGACAACCTTGGAGGTTCCTGTGTGTGCATCTGTAATACCCTCTGCATGTTTACAACAGACAATATAAGTATATAAAACATAAAGGGATCACCAAAATTGTAGTTTTACCTGGGAAGTTTGGCACCAAGAATTCCTTTTTGACCATATTTCCTCCAGCAAAAGCCATCATCAAGAGACCCTTCAAGGGCCATCCCTGGACTAACTTGGAATTTCTGTGTCCAAGTTGGAAGAATGTTCCTGCAATTACATCCAAAACTGTAATTTACCAATAGTTTTAATCAGAAATAAGCTTTTTCTTTATGTTTTGGGTCAAAATCAGTTACCTCGTGCGGGAAGAAGCATTGGTATGATCATGGTCCTTGAATTCACGGTCAGAGTCTTCACTCCTTGGGCTTCCATTGAGAGAGGAAGGAGATTCAGATATTTGGATTCCATTAGAGCTGAGCAATGACAATGCCTTTTCATATGAAGATAAGATCTTTTGAACTAATAGTTCACTGCCATCATTCGAAACTGAAGAAGAAGAAGAAGAAGCAGCAGCAGCCATGGAAGATGATGATGGCCTCACATTGAGATGAATTTGGAGTTGCTTTGCTAATTCCTTCCCTTTAAGCAGCTCCTTTTTCAGCTTCTTCTTTTGGTCCCATTCCCCAAAACTGTCCATGATTAAAGTCCTGAAATTCGGAGAACAAGACAACAAAACAAAACAAAACAAAACAAAACAAAACTTGGGATTTAAGGCTGAAACCAAACAGGATTGTGTCAGAAAGCAAAGACATGAAGTGGGTGGTGAAGTTTGATGGAGGAGGAAGGGAATGGTGTGGGTATTTATGAAGAGGGCTGAGAAACTTTTTTGAAACCAAAGAAAAGAAGGGGAATAGTTTTTGAAGAAGGAGAAGGGTCCAGTCTTCGGTCGTCGATACATTGCTTGGAAATTGATTTCAGAGATCATCTCCGATTCTTGACCAATTCCACTTTCTTCTAAAACACACCCTAAATTGAAACATAAAAAACACAATTATTTCCAATTTTGATCCAAACACAATCAAATAACGTGCAGATGTGGACCAATTCAAATGCAAATAATTGGAAGGTAAAAGGAAATCTTGAAAAATAAGGGGAAACAACACAAATACTATGAAATTGTAGAGTCAACCAGTTGACTTTTGGTTGTTTTTATTTTCTTAGCCGTGTGGAGACCATTCTAACATTCTTTTTATTATTATAGTCTCTCTACCCTTTTTCTTTCTTTATTCTTTTGATCCCTAATTAGAACAATAATCATTTTATACAAAGTTATTATGGTGTGTATTTGAAGAAAAACAGTTATTGTGTGACATCCCAATCGGTTGGAGAGGGAATCGAAATATTCCTTATAAGTGTGTGGAAATCTCTCTCTAGTAGACGCTTCTTAGTAGACATGTTTTATAACCGTGAGACTGACAACTGTACGTAACAGGTCAAAACAGACCATATTAACTAGCGATGGGTTTGGGGGACAACAAATTCAACAAAAGGAGCAAAAGGGTTCATTCTAGAAGGTATATGGACCCATATGAATGTTTTGAAAGTTTAAGATATAAAATGGACATGAATGAATGCACATGACCAAAGTGAACGTTTTGAAAAGTAAAGGAATCATATGACCAAAAAAAATAAAACTGAAGGTACAAATACCAAATTGTGATTTAAATCTCTTTTTATACCCAAGAAAAATTCAAAGCAACCAAAAATGATATGAAAATACTGAGGAATTAGTTGACAATCATTAAGATATATGAACCTCCTAAACATAGACCCTAACACTTTCATAACAACCATGAAGGCTCTAAGGAAAAGCTATTGCATTCAAATGACCTTATAGTAAACGGTATATGACTAACATATAAAATAAGTCGTTCTTATCTCAACATGATCTATCAGAAAATTTCAATTGGATTGGGAATCCCCATTATCAATTTTTTTAAAAGAAAAATAAAAGAGATAATTGTATGGTTGGCTTTTTAAGCACCGTGTAGAGCTAGGAACCAGTACCAAAGTTGGGTCCCATGAAGGTTGATGCTCCAAACCCAACTAGAACCACATGTCTGTCACTTGCATCATCCATTAACTTCACATAAAATATCTTCTCCTCCACTCCTCGCCTGCCACGTAATATTCACCCTCCCTCTCATAGTCGCCACGTCACCCTCACAATTTTAGTCCACTACCCTTTGCCTACGTTGCTGCTTTCTTCACCGTTGATTGACCACAAACCCCCCTCATCACCGTCCATTTCTGTCAATTACAAAGTGAGATTGTTTGTGGACACCAAAATTCATGTATTTAGGAGGAGACTGTCATTTTAAGGTTGTTCTCTCTAATCCTGGGAAATCAGGAGGAAAAATTGAAGAAGAAAAAACCTGTGCTTTACCTTGATCTTTGAAGGTTTGTGTTTCTCAACTTGGTTTTCATTTTCTGTTTGTTTGATCAAGGATGCTGCTGTAGTTGAATCTTCTGTTTATTTTACTGAGGAAATTCTAGAGAATCTTGCTCGTTGGGGGAAAATCAGATAACTCCTTGAACTTGAGCTTTTAGGTGCAAATGGTTGAACTTTTTGTGTGTTTATGACATTTTCTTTCAGAATAGGATGTCCCACAGTAGACCCACCGGAAAAAACAAGTAAAGTTCCAAGCTTTGTAGTCCCAGTTCGTTCAGACAGTAAAGAAGATGAAGTTACGGGCAGAAAGGACTTCTTGAAGTTACTTTTAAGGAAAATGGTGTTAGCTATGTACTAAACTAGAAAACTGGTGTTTATTTGAGCTGCGATGTCTATTGCTACATGTGCATCAAAATGGATGTCTTCTATGGTTTTTGCTAATGACTTGTTTCGTGAATTGCCCATGAGGGAAATTTCAGTCCTTTCTCTTGTGAATACTTTTGGCTAATGCATTGTTTCAAATCTAGGATTTGAGTGATAGGAGTTGGCAGTTACAATTTATTGCAGGTTGCTGGAGCTTCCATATTGATTTCGTTTTCTCTTTTTGAAGGCTACTTGGTATGGGAGTTGTGACCGTTTCAAGCTCGGCAGCACGAACTCCTTTTCGGCTAGGTGGAAAATTTTCCAATAACATTTCTGCATCGAAAAGACCATCGATTGTCGCTTTTAAAGTAGATAAGCACACGAACGCTACTTTGGTCTCACCTCACGAACAAGTAACCCTGCCTGTGGAGAGTAATAACAGAAACCAGAAAAGAACAGGCAAAACTAGCAAATCTTTAAAGAGAGTTAAAGCTGTCTTGATCGATGAAGCTACACCCTGTACTTCGGATGTGGATTACAATGAGGCTGCTGCTAAACTTGAAAACATTTTCAAGCTTAGCCCTGTGACAGAGGATACTGATATGGAAAATGAAGATGGCAGACCGAAAAGAGTACAACAAAGGAGGAAAAAGTTAGGCAAGAGACCATGTGATGGTGTAGTCAGGAACCAGACTAAGAGGATTAAGCGACTCGATCTCGACAGGAGGATAGCATTGAAAAGTAACAAGGAAGGAAAATCAGCTCCTTCATTAAGTATACAAAAAGATACCAAAAGTGAAGCTGATGAGATTGATGATCTTGTAAGAAACTACTCTGCTTCTACTGATTTGGTTAGTTTAGACTGGAAAAAGATGAAGATTCCTCCAGTTCTTCCTTCATCAGAGCATACCCGTTTGTTCAAGTTGGTTCAACCAATGAAGGTGAGGCTTAAGAATTCTGGTGCTGGAAACTGATTTGAATGGAAGTTTGAATAAAAGTGATTTTGTTGACTGCCAAATAATGTTTTCCTCTATTAGGCACTTATTCAAGCACAAGAAGAACTGCAGAAAGGGTTGGGAAGAGAACCAACTGAAGGAGAATTGGCCAATGCGACAAATATGAATGTAATTCAAGTAAGGAGACAGTTGGAGGTTGGTCGTGCTGCCCGAAACAAACTCATCAAGGTAAGAGACACTTCCTTCCACGATTAAAGCAGTATTCCTTCAGGCTTCCATGATACCACGACCGCCTTCAAAGGCCTTTGCTTTCTCCATAATAATTTACTCAGTTCTCATCCATCAGCCATGGAGTTTATCAACGTACAAGTTTATATGATTGATATGTTTGTCATATTCCGTTCAATCAAAATGTTAAGGTTCCTTTCCTAGGGTACATACTGATCTTCCAATAACATATTGGAGTGCAGACAGATTGAATGTAGTTGTAATCAACTCATGATATAATGCACTAGGATAGAACTAATGGTTAGGTCCTACATCTGTTGCAGCATAATCTCCGCCTTGTATTGTTTGTGATCAACAAATACTTTGAAGATTTTGCAAGTGGCCCAAAATTTCAAGACCTTTGTCAAGCAGGAGTCAAGGGACTCATTACAGCGATTGATCGCTTTGAGCCTAAGAGAAGATTCCGCCTATCAACTTATGCTTTATTTTGGATAAGGCATGCTATTATTCGGTCAATGACTCTCTCAAGCTTCACACGTGTCTCATTTGGACTCGACTCGGTTAGTGCTTATAGTACTTCGCCTTTTCCATTCCTTTTTTTCTTTTATCATGGCAATGAACTACTTGCGTTCCTTAATCATCATTCTACTTTCCTTCATGACATCATATTACTGTTGCTAAATGTAAAACAACCAAAGAAGTTGGTACCTTAAATAGAGAAGAAACAAAGAAAAATAGAATAAGGGAATATTTAACCTTTGAAGGAAAACTAAAATGTTATATTGAGAGTTTGATCTCGAGAGTCTCCAAGAAATAATTTCATAAGAAACAATATAAGATAGATTCTAGCCACCGTCAGAAGGGGAAGGAAGGTTCTCTCTCCATAGTTGTAGTTCAAAGAAAAAAGAAGCTATGAATTTCGATTGAATGAAATAGAGAAGAAAGTCGCTCTAGAGTAGGGAAGCAAGTTGTACAATAAATCATCTAGCTCCCATTTGTGGTAGACAGCAATTAAAAAGCTGAATTGAATCTGTTCACTTTGTTATGTTTTGAATCTAAATCATCGTCTAAATGGTTCTTGCTGCACATGAAGGCATGGGTTATTGAGACTGAACCTTTTCTTATGCAGGTAAGAGTTGAAATTCAAAGAGCTAAACTTGAGTTATTATGTGAGCTTCATAGATTGCCAACAGAGGAAGAGGTAATCGCAAAAGTTGGCATCTCACCTGAGAGGTACCTAGAAGTAATGAGGGCTACAAAACCAGTTTACTCTCTCCATTCTAGGCACTCAACTACATCAGAAGAGTTTATCAGTGGGATCGCTGATGTAGAAGGTACTGGAGGCGACAACCGGAGGCAATCAGCTCTTCTGAGGCTTGCTCTTGACGATGTGGTAATTTTTCCCCCTTTAAACCACTAATTTAACTTGTGAAATATATTTGGTAAAATGTCTTCACATCATGAATTCAAGGTGAAAGACATCTTGGCTACATCTGCTATGCTTGTTTAAAATGCAACTGACTTGCACTGCACTAACTTATTCTTCCCAAATCGATGTAAAAGTAGTCTGTTGTACTGACATGGACCTCCCCTTTTGGTAGATTTCTTAGGCATTCCTGACTTGAGATTGCTTTTAACTCAAATTGTTGATCATATCAGTAGATATGACCCGTTTAATCTGCTGCATTTTTCATGGGATGCCTTGAAATCCCCTATATTGCTGATATTTTGATAATATATTCCTAAATTTAAAATTTTCTTCCAGCTTGATTCTCTTAAGCCGAAAGAGAGCTTGGTGATCCGACAAAGATACGGTCTTGATGGCAAAGGAAACCGAACATTAGGTGAGATAGCCGGAAATCTAAATATTTCAAGGGAAATGGTTCGAAAGCATGAAGTGAAAGCTCTCATGAAGCTCAAGCATCCTGCAAGAGTGGATTACCTTCGTCGGTATTTAATCTGAACTGATGAGAACATCAAGCTTTGTTTCAATGATCTTGTACTCCGGCTTATCTCCTATCGCCAAAACATCTCAAGGGGCAAGAGATTTGTACCATATATTTGTAACTACTTGAACATAGAAACCTCACCCCATATGATTCTTATTTTTAAGGACATACAATTGGCAGCTCTGCAACTTTCTTTGTAGGAAGAAGGCAGTTTTATAGGAGAAGAACAGCAACTAAAAGACAGGAATGGTTATACCCCCTCTTGTATACATACTATGTGATATAAATAGATAATACTGTTTATAAATTTCAACCTTTGACTGTTTAGCAAGTTTTTTTTTTTTTTTTTTTTTTTTTCTACAAAGAGGATTCAAAGGAAGAAAAACAGAATTAGTGGTTTTCAGTTTAATTTCTCCTTATCTCAAGAGGAAGAAACTTCTTCAGGAATCAGTATGAACTGGAGAGAGTGGTCGCAACTTTTTTCTTTTGAGAGATTTCGTAGGTGTATTCAATATGCAGACATCCCAATTTCATAGATTTTCCTTTATCAGTCCTTTCTTAGAGGAAATGATCCAATCATAGATAGATCTAGAAGTTCAACCATTCTATAGTCATATTTGAAATGGCAGAGAGACTAGTATGATAAAGAAAAATATATACATATAACAGAATTCCTCAGGTATTAGTTACACTATGTTAGACATATTTGAATAATTTTTAAATATTTCCCAAGAATTCAGTGGTTTCTAAATTTGAAGACATCATCATAATTAACGAAATAGGATTTGGGTGTTAAAGAATAGACTTCATGGAGTAGCTTGATATTGTCTGTTACATGTCATGAGTTAGATTTATGTTCAAATATATACGTACAAGGCCTTATAAATGAAATTAATGTTCAAAACTATATGTGAGAGTGTGTTGAGGACACATGAAAATATTAAATTTACAACCTAACACGTCGATTAGATCTGGCTTTGGATCGAATACAAGCAATCCATTATGTCAGTAACTAGTTGGAAGGATTTTCCTACTGAAAAGGAAGTTTGTTAGGAATATGGAATTTGTAATCTGCACACTACACTCTTCTTTCCCTTTTTGGAGAAAATATTACTTCTCATATAAGCTTCATGACTTTCTTTGCCTTTTCAGCTCTCTCTGTTTCATGAGTAGTTATGCCACTACCGATTAAAATAATGATGGAGGTCACTTTATTCACAATACAACTATAATCCAACATAAGCTTTGACTGAATGGGTGAAACTTGGATGCTTATAAAATTCTCATTGAAAAGAATGAGAACATGAGTTGGCTTGAAAGGCTTGGCCAAGTTCATATCACATGGAGTAAGAAGGCAAGGTCTGTGTGTTCATTTATTTCCGAACGCAAGTTAATTAATCATAAGAACTGCATAAACCCAAGCCTCTCATATGAACCTCTTAGGTTATACATAAAATCAAACCATCAGAAGTCCAAACACATGGGCCATATAAATAAACACAAGCTAAACATGCCTAAACCTCTAAACCCTTTCCCAAGAAACTATTGCCAAATCAAAGAAATGTCAAAACATTTTTTAAGGTTATATGGCCCTGGTTTGCAGATCAGCTACACTCCAGCCAACATTACGTGAAGAGTAAAATATCCACCAAGAGACCGACAATACTCGAATCCAGATATGTTTCGTCCCAGTTTCACTATCTGAAACTGGTGACCAAAATAATTAACCAGTAAACTCATTGTCCCATTGTGTGTGTACTACCATAAATCCTACACTACCTAGCCAAAAACCTGGAAATCGAAGAAGAATACTTCTATACTTCTTACTCATGAATGGGTGTTGAATTCCTTTGTAAAGACATAGGGTGTTGAGTTCCTTTGTAAAGACATAGGGTGTTGAGTTCCTTTGTAAAGACATAGGGTGCTTCAACCACGAAAGAGAGCACCATATAATTTAAAGACAGCTGACCAGCAAAGAGAGGAAGTGGGAAATGTGTATTGAGAGAGTTGTACAACTGCCAATCTGGCTCCATAACAATGAAGATTCATATGCCTTTGTGCCTAACATCACAAGCAAATCTTGCCCCCACCACTTTCCATCCATAACAATCTTTAAAGATTTCTCTCAAACTATAGGCTCAGTCCAATCCTGAATAGCAAGCCCTTCTGAAACATCAGCAAGAGATTTGAGATTGCACTTGATCAAGGTCTCTACAACGAAGCAAGTCTCATCCTTTGTGTTTCCTTCAGGAGTGTCAACCACAAATGACTCAACGACAAGAGTACCTGGCCTTCCTTCTATGATCTCTGAATGGAGGGAAATAATTGAAGAGTAGTTCTGGAAGAAAAGGCAAAGAAAGTTAGTTGACTTATGCAGGACCAATAATTAGAAATGGCAATGACGGCGTTTGTCCATGCACTATCTCACTTGGAAACTTTTCTCATGTTCTACTAGGCAATCTTACAGCAAATAGAGGGTGATGATTAGTTTCAGTAAGAGATATCTTCCCAAGATAACTGCAAATTGTTCAAATACCTAGCCGAATATGTAATCCAGAGCCTATTTGAGCCACAACCCCCCCCATCGTGCAATGGGAAAGAATCAAATTACCACCAGACCACTTGATTGTCTGATTTGAATTAAAATTTGCCCAAGCAGGTAAAGCAACATATGAAGAATGTTCAGAGATTTGAGTTGGTCAAGAATGCAGAGTTTCATCATGTGTTAAGATCAAGAGTAATTCCCCGAGTTTGGTCTATCCATGAGTCTACCAACTTATTCTCAGTTAGGCACCCTAAAGTTCCCCCATAGAGTTTAGCTAAAAACCAGAATGTTTTCAGGACTATAAATTACATAAAAGTTCGTAGGCAATGCACATCATGAATATGACTAATGCATGAAATCAATTTAAAATTGAGAATAAATATTTTTTAGGCAAAGCCTCATATTAGTAAATAGCAATCACTTGAAAGAAAAAGAGAAGCATACCCTAAGCCTGTGATCACCACCAACTATCCTGAAGCTAAGGATATGTTTGTCATCATCAAGAAGTTCCAACCTTTCTGTGCTTGTGGTGGCTGGGAGCCCAGATTTGACATCAACTTCTCTAATACTTCCAATCTCAAGATTCCCCTGTACTACACACCAGCTTATAAATGGCTTGTACTTTTGGGGTTGATCAAATCTTCTCACCAAAGACCAAACCTGATGAGAATTAAATTAGAACATGTATGTGCCCATATAAACCAGCTGCACGTGATAGAAATGTTAAACAAAAAAAAACGAAGTTTGAAAAACATGATGGTGCAGTTATATAGTTGAAAATGGATTTCCATGTTGGTCAAAATTTGGTTTCTCCAAATTTTGTTTCATTAAGTTAGTCTTTCAGTTTGACATGTACATTTCCAGAACCCTTATATGCGTAATATTTTTCCAATGTCCTAGCAATAATAAACCACAAAACCTGGATCCAAAAAAAAAAAATCAAGTGGCTGAATACTTGGAACTGGTTTAGCTCAGCTGAAACCTCTATTTCTTCACAACGAAAAATCATTTTCAAATACTGTAACCGGTTACATATTCAAAACTTTGGCAACAGAGTTGGCAAAACAACACAACTTTCAGACTACAAAAACAAGTAAACAAGCCACAGATCTACGTGGTTGCCGGTACTTGGCAAAAGAGACAGGCAACAACTTACAAAGTGAAGGAAGGAAAGTGTTGAGAATAGATTGACAAGATTAGATTTACCTTAACCTATGAGCTTAAATTTTTTATCTTGGGGGTAGTAGCAAAAGTATTGGAATAATTAAACAACAAAAGAAATAAACACTAAAAAGGATTACCACATAGATCTCTAGTAAAGGATGCGACAAAGAAAACACATGAATGAAAAAAGTAAAGAAGGTACAAACTTGAAGGCAGAGAACGCCTAAGAAAGAGTAATAGTTGGATCCACCCATGAATTGAGATTTGAGAATGTATAAATATGCGTCAAAGAATAACAGAGAATTGAAAAAAAATGAAGAGAGAAGAATGTATAATGTTTATGTAAAAGCTATAGCGAAGGACACAAATTTGACATACAAAAAAGAAGCATATGGAAAGAGGAGGAGAGGAGGGGATAGTTACAAGAGGAAGGGGAGCTTTAATGTGCTTGATTAGCAAGGAGGTGCACTGATTCTCAGCAGGCTCGTGCCTGTGATGCCTCCCAATGCACTCCTTCTCCAAGCTGCTAAATCCACCATTCCCACTCATTTCGGAAATTTACCTGAGCTAGCTAGAGCAAAAGCCACAAATCAACAGAAGCTCAAACCTAAAGAGGGCTCATGGTATCCGTACAAGGATCGGATCGGAAACAGAGTCCAATAGGCAATAGGTCTCACGGGAGTTGCACCGGAGACGACAAAACGACGGCAAAGAGGTTGGCCGCGAGCAGACAAGAATGAAGAAATGGGCTCTCAAGTTTCTGTACCACAAAAGATATACGCATACCAACAGAAAAAAGCTGAAATAATTTTTAAATATAAGATGGAGGGCGAGGGATAAAATTTTAAAAAAAAAAAAAAATGTTGGGATAAATGGATGGAATTTTTGGTTACTTGTTTTAGAAGTGGGGACCTCCAATTTGTTGTGCCTAACCTATATTTGTACACTACCCCCAACCACTCGCAAACTTTATTATTATTAACCCATTTTCTATTTAGTCTCTCCCTTCTAAAATTAATTTAATTAAATTTTATTAATTTGATCTTGAAACAAAAATGGATTCTTACACGTATATTTAATCCCACATATTCATAGTGAACGAAATATAGGAAATATATAGAAGAATATTTTTTTAAAAAAGAATGATAGAAACATAATTCTCCCATTATTTCAGAAAAGAAAACTTTTTTTTTTTTCTATTTTTTGAGTTGTCGTTTAAAAAAAATTAAAAAACTTAAATTATTTTAACTTCTCCTAACAAAATTTCCTACCCCTTTGTTGTTCATGAGTTAGTAATCAGCATCCTCCACAATAGTAAAATATTGTCTACTTTGAACATAAGATCTCATGATTTTGCTTTTATTTTCTCCAAAATGCTACGAATGAAGATGTATTCCTAACTTATAAACTCATGATTATCACCTTAATTAACCAATATGGAACTCCCACCTAACCATGCTTTCAATTCAAGATTATGATAATTGAAAGTGTGATGATAGGGTTGGTTGAAAATTTTCTGTAAATTCTTGAACAGAACTCCAAGTTTTGGGATGGGTTTGAAACAAAAGAAGTAGAAGCACTTAGAGGAATTAAGTACAGGCACTCTAAAAGCTTTGTTCTTTTCTTCTATACACAAATGAGGCAGGTGCACATCATAATAAAAGGAGTACTAGTCTATAAGCATTTCTCACCAAATTGAGGGACTCAAAGCCACTAATCTCAACAACAAAAAAAAAAAAAAAAAAAAAAAAAAAGAAGAAGCTAATTCCACGTTCTGGGGTTCAGAAAAATTGACTTGTGAGAGATTCCAAAGTTCCAATGCCTCAAACAGAGTATTACACCTTCCTACAAGCTATATAAAACATGTCAATTCAGAATGTTTGTTCCTGTTTTTTCCCCCCACAAAAGATCTACCAATTTGTTAAGTTTCTCCAATATTGACGGTTGCTTAAAAAATCAGCAGACGAGAATCTTCTACAAAAGGAATGGATTTTTACTATAGTAGAAAGGTGCTTACTCCGAAGCCATTGGATGCATGGATAAACCCACTGCAATTTGGCTCTGAGTGTGGAATCTCAGTTTTTCTAAACGATCATCACCGCTACTAAAGTTCCTAAGATCAAAGTTCATTAACAAGCACACAGCAGGCACTCTAATATCATTGTAGAATGCACGAACATTTGTTTCATTCCAACAATTAAACCACAAGCTAACCTACTAGTGGACTATATATAATAAACTTCAGGCTCATGTGGGTTTATTATATCTTGCATCACTTAACTAACACGAACAAGGGACTACTTGGGACTTGGGAGCTCTTCCTTTAAAAATTGTTTTCACTCATTTTCTATAACAATAGAACACAGTTTGTTTTACGAACCAATCTAGTTTCATTCTTAAAAGAAATTATATAAAAGTAGTTTGAATCTCTCTCAAACAAGTCTTATTCCTTTTTCTTTCTTTAAGAGATTTAGTGCAGAGGTGGCTCAAGGTGATCCGTGAACAAAAAGACTACCATATCAGTACTTTACTTTAAAATAAGATATCATAGCCATATATACATAAAGAAAACTACCAGAATCACTTACTTAGTTCCATGATATCACTCCATCATTCTCCAAATCTCTGATATCAGTATCAACGAAAGTGCCGAGCAGTGGATGTCTCCAAAGGTCTTCATCTTTTAAAATGAGAACCTGAGTAATTTAATTAGTGAGATGGGTCATCCAACCTTCAAGCTTTAAGTCAAAACAAACCAATTTCTATTTACTGAAGCAGAATCGAATAGCCAAGGAGTTTCTAAAATAAAGCATCCAATGAACGAAAGGAACTGACGTCTGTCAAATTGTTGGACAAATCTTTTCACAAGAGAGTTCAACAGTTTTTAGTAAAACTAACAATTTTTCTGCCAAATGATTAGAGAAATATCAAATGTTCTCCGAGGAAGAAGACACAAGCTGACACTACTATGAGTTATCTAAGAAAGCTCTTATGCATAAAAAGAATAACGTTTTTTACGTAAAGAAAACCCCACAGAAAGAATCAAAAACCGCTTTACACACAACCAGGGATTCCACCAATATCCATCATTTTTTAAACTTTCTTTTCAACCAGCAAAAACAACGCCCAGTTGGATAAATAATCAAGCAAAACAAATAAACAATCACTTTCCATGGCAAAGAACAGAACAATCAATCTACATTTCCCTACATAAAGCATCTTCTCGTAAGAAATGGTTATCCGATGAAGTAAAAAAGTGATAGATACCCAATCAATAGCATAAAGGAGGGGTAACGGGTGTCTGTTATTCTGTTCTTCCTCTTGGGTTTCGTCTTTTTTCGCTTTGGTTATCATCTTTCCGGTGGGCTCATATCCTGCGAAAGAGTAGGCCAAATCATTCGAAAATTGGAATATTCAGTCCACAAGAGGGACCAATCATTCCGACCATTCATTCAGAACGAAGTATGCAAATAAATAGAAACGCGGCCGCTAAAACCCCATCCCTTCGTCCCCCNCCCCCCCACGCACAAACACTTCAGGACCATTTTCCTCTCTGCTTTATTCCCGAAATCCAAATTCCCGATACGTATCGGCATTTGGATAAACCAAATGGATTGGTTGTCGCAATATGTCGTTTGTCATCAGAGTGCTGCCTGTGCGACGCTTTCGAAATGAGAAGTTGATAGATCAACAGAGTGAAGAAATTTTCAGGCAGTGAATCGTTACAGTTGCCGCGTCAATTTATAGAAAGGTATGAACTTACGAACGGAAGCTTCCCGCTATACCAATTCCAAGACTAACCCAGATTGAATAGCGCTGGCCCACTGGAAAGAAAACCCCCATGGGCCTTACTACCACAAGCCCATATTCAGTTGGACCGGCTTTAATAGCAATTCAAGGAAAAACATAAAATTCAGTGTCGCCATATTTGTAAACTTTTTAAAATTAAAACAATACTGATAATTTATATATACTTTTTGTGGGCGGCGGCGCGTGGGAGAAAGAAAAGGAAGGGTTGGGTTTTGTTGGCGGCCACCTGCGTACGCCAAGGGTAAAAGGGTTTTACAATTTAGTTAAAAATCTCATTTATTTATATATATATATATATATATATGCGCTCAAATTGATCGACAGTATTTACTTGAGAATATTATAATTAATTTGAATAATTACTCTTAAATTGATTTAATTTAGTATAACTATAGTGTTTTGAGAATATCATAATAAATTTGAATCTACGATCTTATGAAACAAAACAACAACGAGAGAGAGAGATGGGTAGGAGTATTAGTACATATATTAAATATATTGATGTAAAATAAAAGATGGGTAATTAGTAAAAGGATTTGGTAATGCATCTCTGTTATTACCAAAGCCATATACACTTTGGTGGATGCTTAAATAACCCAAATATTTTACTAAAAAATCACCCACTCCATTTTTAAATATTAGGAGATGGGGTTGTAATTGAAGGGGCTGTGGAGTTCCTCCATCTGGCCAGCCTTAGCAAAAAAGCAAGAACCTCCGATGGGTCCTTCAACGAGTAGGAAGCGTTTGTGTGCTTTGGAATGGATGCCACGAGTATCGCAATTCCATGTCCTTTCCTTTGTATTACCTACAAAACTCATACTCATCCCACTTCAGTTTAATACCCATTTCAATATTCATGAGTATTAACAACATCCAGCTTTTGCATATGCTTGCTTACCTTGAAAGCGTCCTCGTCCGTTTGATCATCGCCAATGTACAAAGGAACCACATCGTCGGTGTCGTTATGTCCCAGACTGTGCAGATAATACTCCATTGCATGCCCTTTGTTCCAATTAATGGTCGGCCTTATTTCCATAACCTTCAAATGTTCATACCATATTAGCAAAGAATATGGCTTCATTTTCAACAAACAAAATCATGCTTATTTTCAGGATTTATGCACCTTTTTGCCCTGCGTTACATGAAAATCAGGATATTTTTCCATAACAGTCTCTACCTTCTTTTCTAATTCCGCCAACTCCTGCCATAAGTCAATAACACATTGATTCGTTTCCTTAATCTTTATCCATATCACGTTCATACACATACATAATCGACAAAGATCGAGATCTTTACCCTTTCGTGCACGTGCCGAAAGTGTACAGAAACACAAAACGTATTATCCTCCACCAATGCACCTTCGATCTTTCTAGTTTCTTCCTCTAATACGCGTTTTATCTGTCACGTTTTAAATGTTTTCCATATTTCAAACCTCGTATCATAAAAAACAAAAATAATAATGATAATAATTCGATTTTTCCGACAAGAAATTACTTGTTGAATTTTTGGTAAAAACTTCTTGGCTGGTTGATAGGAAACCCCATTAGCCTACAATCAAACGTATAATGTTATGTTAACGTTGATAAATGATATAAGTCGGAAATATTATAATTATAAAACTAGAAGAACCTCATTGTCCGAATTTGGAGACATAATGTCTAATCCATGGCTCCCAGCATAGTGCAGATTCCTCAATTTCACGAACTCCTTTACCTGAAATTTTCAATTAATTTCTTTAATATATATATATAAACAATTAAAATTTAAATAATTACCTTTTCTCGGCTTCTTCCGCTTATTATGGCAGTCGGAAAGCCTTTTGCCACTTCTCTCACAGCTTCTCTCATCTGCATTTATACACACAGAAAAATATATATATTAAACAATAAAGAGACTAAATTAAAAGAATCAAATCCAAAAAGATATAGGTCAACCTTTAAAAATTATTAATAATAAAACCCATATTTTTAGTGTAGAAATTCAAAGAACAAAGAAAAAAAACTAATCATTTTATAATTTCTAAATAAGGTCAAACAACTAAGCAAAAAAAAAAAAAGAAAAAAGAAAAAAAGGATATTATGGATATAACATATCTCAACTGCTTCCAAAACAAAATCAAGCATTTAGGCATTAGCAATCTTTCTAAGATTTGAATGTATATTAAAGTGTGGAACGTTTATATTTGAATCGAATATGTAAAATTTATAACAGTAATAATTTACCTCAGGAGACATGAAAGCTCGATCAGGATCATCCACAATGGGAGAAAGGGTTCCATCATAATCCAAGAACACCACAATCTTCTTCCTCGGTAGCTCTTTCATTATGGACTCAAACGATTCCAAACCACTGGGGTATTGTTTCTAATACACAGAAATCAACATTTAATAACCCAGAAATTCAAAAGAAAAAGATGATTTAAAATTTAATTTCGTACCAGCCATGAAGTGTAGTTGTGGAAATCGGAACCTTGTACGGAGTTCCGGTGACCGGAAAGCAGCCCGGAGAGTCCCATTATCGATCTCCAGAGCAGTGTGCGGCGGAGGGCGGGAAGACCGAAAGTGAAGGGAAGGAAAATTAGGAGCACGGATTTTCCTTTCAGCAAAACATGGCTAAAAAGAAGAGAGAAGTTCATTGTTGCTTCTGTGTTTTTTTAAAAAGACAGGCGCAATTTGGCGAAGGTGGAGGGCTCTTTGTTTGTTCGGTGGGGTTATTTAAAGGGGAAATTTCATAAAGTTCCCTTTTATCTATTCGGCCACGTTTCGAGCTGATGTGGCTATTTTAGTAATTTACTTTCATTTCTAGTCAAACCTAGGTCTGATTTTTATTGTTTATTAATGCCTTCCTTCACAAAATGGTCCTACTCTAAAGGGAGACATTCTGGTACTATTTATTTTTTTTTTTAATTTACAAAGTACACAATATATTTATAAAATAAGAATTTGTTTCTAATAGAGACAAACACTTTAATTTAAAATGAAAACTATGTTATAAATTATTGAATTAAAAAATATATTAAATAAATGAATTACTATGTATAAAACAGATTAAAGTTAGAATAAAAAGAAAATTAAAAACTTATTAACCAATCTATTATATCTTATGTTTGGTAAGTTTGGAGGAGTTTTGAAACCAACATGCCAATAACACTGTCTAAAATGTGCTCTCGAAGTTTTACCAGCTTTAATTTCACTCCCTTTTTTTTTAAAATAAATAAATAAAATTTCAAATGTAAAATCAAAACTAAAATAGATATAATTATAAACAAAACTACAAGCTATGTATTTGACGGTTTTGTGGGGTTCTTCATGTGAGCAATTTTGTCTTTTCAACAATATTTCACTAAAATTTAAAATTATATTATTGTTTGCCTAATTTACAGTTCAAAATATAATAATATAAGCAAAAGGTCCGGTTCGGTCCTCCATTTTGGTCCAAACCGAACCGTTCACACCCTACCTACTCAATTGCATGGGGTCATATTTTCTGTTTTTTTTTTTTTTTTTTTTTTTTTAAAAAAAATCCTTTGTTTTTTTATGTTTAAAACATCTTATTTCTAGTTTAATTTTCTTATTGATTATTTACACATGGGGTCACACATGTTTCGTTGGGCTAATTAGTTTATAAATGTTATATTTAAAATGCAATTTATAAAAAATGTGGTATAATTCACTAAAATAATCCTTTTTTTTTTTTAATGTGATTTCAAATGTTAGTTTTATTTTAAGAAATTGGAACTGGAATTATAATTTTTCTAGATTTTTAAATTTATAGATTAACTACTAATTAGCCCATGCATTAGTCGATTACGATCAAGAGATTATATAATAAATTCTTTATTTTATTTCCCTTCTCCCAACACATCCAAACAAAAAACAAAAAATATATATCCAATTTAGCTCTTTATTATCCCAACAAGATTTTAAAATTTGTTAATCAATTAAAATACGTTTAAACAAAAGGTAAAATAAGAGACTATTTGAAAATCAATAAATATTTTAAAAAAATATATATAATTTAGGGAAACCATATAATATCTAAACTGAATTTTCTAAAATTATAAACAAAAACACAACTTAAAATTTCAAAGTAAGAGTAAATAGAGTTTCGTAAAATTTGGATATCTTTGTATGACCAAAAAAAAATTGTTTACCATAAAAGTGAGTGAGGATCACATATATTCAAATTAAAGTTGTAGATTATTATTTAAAAAAATAAAAGAAAAGAAAAGCATGGCCAAAAGATGGTAACCGACAAAAGAAAACAGTAACCGTTTTCGGGTACGAATCGGGTCAAGAAAGTGGCCTGCTACGGGACAAAACGGAGTTAAAAAGGTAGGGCCGACGCTTTCCCACGTGGTGACTACAGGGTGGACAGCGTTCTGACGTGTCATTAAATAAGGGATTTAATTGGAATAGTTGGAGTCCATGTGTCGATCTCCGGGCAGGTAATTTGTTTGGGTCAGTGGGCGAGAGACTGAATCAATCCCTGCCCGTCATCGACACATGTGAGGTCCAAAAAATTACACAAGGAAACAGCGAAAAATAGAATTAAAAAAAAAAAAAATGCAAATTTATTCAAAAGGTATCGTAAAGGAAAAGGCAGAGAATAAAATTATATGGTTCCAAACGTTGTGAGGTTAAATCACAAGTAATTCCTAAATTTATTTAACTATAGAAATTGTGAATCTTTTTTTAATTTTTAGATTATTAACAATATGATATGTAAAAAAATAAAGTAAATAAAAATATTAAAAGGTAGACTCATATCTTGGTATTTAGTTAGTTGTTGGAGTATAAAAGGCAAGAGGGTTGTGTATTATCCCTAAAGAAGGGAATGTATATGTAACGTTATATTACATACATACATACATACATACATACATAAAATGCCAAGTGTTTATGCATGCCTGTATGTGGCAAGAAATATGCATCATACAAGGAGATGAGAGGAGAGAGAAAAAGGTACTTCCCTTTGGCAAAAATGATGAGAGAGAGATGGAGATGATGGGACATTTATAGAGAGAAGAAGGGAAGGGGTTTTATTGGGAAACTTTGTTATCAAATTTGTTTAACAAGTTTTAGAGCTAATTAATTGCCCAACATTTCCCACTAAATATTGTTTTTTATAGCCTTCCTACTCAAATTACCAAATTGGGCCTCATTCCTTTGTATTAATACCTAATCTTCTCCATTATAAGTTAGCCAATCAAATCTTTAATTTTCTTCCCTCCCACCCTATTTCATCTATTAAATATAAATTTATTATATTTTATGTCTAATAGAACCTTAAATAATTATAAATTCGTTATCTTCCAAATCCCTGACATTTAAGTGCTTTTAAGTTACAAGTCAGCCACCTTGCAATTATTGAATTTAAAAAAAATTGAAGAAATATGTTTGAGACAGTGAGGAGAATTGGATAAAACTACATTAATTAATTTGTTCTGCATCAGTTTACTACAGACAGACAGACAGACACAACAGCGTACAGATTGTGGAATAGACAACACTAAAACAAGATTGGGAAAAACAGATTACAAAATGCCAATGAATTAACAAATCAAACCCCTTGCGCGCACCCATTTGTTGCTCTAGGTGCAGACAGAATTAACAGCCAATATCCAACTTCTTTCGCTCTCTACAAAAAGAATCTACACACATCCAAAATTCTTAGTCGTCTTCGACATCCGTGCCTGCATTGTCGTGATGAAACTTCACCACAATGCATGTTATATTGTCAGCGCTACCACGGGTAAACGCTGCTTCAGTTAGTTTCCGAGCAGCTGCCTCTGGTCCCTCTTCTTTCCTCGCAACTAATACTGCATCCTGAACGGAGAATTTGAATTGGATACATGGCGAATTCACAATTTAGAGCAACTTGGATACATGGGGTTGTGATGCAGTGAGCATACCTCGTTGCGTACCACGTCCCAAAGTCCATCGCTTGCGAGAACAAGCAGCTCGATGTCCTTGTCCACTTCAAGATCCTGGCATGTATGGTGGGCAGTATTTGTAAACCATGAAAAGCTTTACCAACAGTAAACAAACTAAACTCAAGACAATATTCAGAAAGAATCTGGTCTTGCTCCATGTATAACATAACATCTAAAACAATAAATTTTCCACCAAGATTGTAGAATAGTTTAATATACTGTTAGTATTATTATTGAGTTCAGAGATCCGAACTCCGAACCTCTTGATTGAGGGTATATATTTAAACTAGTTACCTATGCTCAAACTAGCAACATTCTTGAATGTTATAAGCTATAATCATAAATTTCATTCATCAAAGCTTTCTTCTTCCATATGCCAAACGCTAGCAACCACAAAGTGAACTAAACGGGTTATTTGGGCTCCCCTACAAAGAGTGAACTTCAGTTTTAGAACTAAAATGGTGGGCTAAATGATGGGGTGGAAAAGATACCTGAATATCAGGATCTGCCACAACGAACTGCTTCAACATCTTGTTACCGAAAGCACGGGACATCGCTAACACTCCTCCTACCCTCCAAGTGCCTGACAGCAACAGACAATACGATGCGATTAAGATACAGATTATCACAATGACATTGTATGATTGGTAAACTTCAAATACAGGACCAAAAGATGGCCAGAAGAAACTAATCTCTGAGAAATTAAATTTTCTATCTAGTAGATAACTATAAAGGAAATACATTCCAACTTCCCTGAAATCATTTTACATCCATAATTGTTACTATGAACAGGACCTTTGGTTTTTCGTTTAGGATGTATATTTCAGCCTTTTGGTACTCAAGCTTTCCATTAGCACGTGATTCATATTTATTAGAGAACGTAAAGCGATGGTGGAACTTTGAGTCCCTAATTTATCTATTTCAAGTTAGTACTGATCAATGTCAATACCCAAGTTCACCAGCAGGGATAGCAGTTCTTAGCATCATTAGCAAAAGCATTATTGAAATCTTACCAGCCCACATGACAACACCCCCGGCATTTTCAATTCGCCTCCGCTCGTCAGTTCTGTTTGGTTTATGGTCCTCAGAAAGAGGGATGGCTGCCCAGAAGAATGCAATTAGTTTCAAGTTTCGCTCGTAGTTAAATATCATTACGATTTGTTCAACTTTAATCATTTTTAGAATAAATTTTCATGCCCAAGTGTCTTGACTTTCTACCTAACGTTAAAACTCAAAAGCATAGAAAACAGGAAAAAGTAAACAAATAATACCGTCACGTGGTGTTTTTGTGTGAAAAACAAAAGTGAACTACCTTCACCGCCCTTCGATATAATAGTACGCGAATCTCCAACATTGGCAACATAGAGATGATTGCCAACTAACAAAGCTGTTGAAGCAGTAGAGCCATCGTCCCTTAAAGTATCCTTTTCGGAATTTAAAAATTCAGCATCCGTCTGTCGATACGTTTCTCCTGGGAAGTGATAGAAGAAACTTTCGATGTAAGTTCAAAATTACTAGGACTCAAATACAAAACAGTGTAATGTAAACAAAGAATATGAAACTTAAAAATCCAGTACTGTTACAATTGTATACAGCTCAAAAACAGTCATCATATAAACCTAATGAATTTATCCTCATAAACAAACCAGTGAGGCATAGGGAAAGGAAACACACTGATAGCTAATTTGGTATCTATCAAAAATTTTGGGTGCTTTATCAGATTCTCGAAGAGATGGTCCTTCAAAAACTCTGCAGCACGGTATCCACCATGACCTGCAACCACATGTAAAGAAGTAACTACTCCATGATGGCTTCTATAACGTGAATGATTAGCATCAACTATGCATTAAAAGAAAATAATCTCTGAAAATGATTGAATTCAAGCGTCAAATTTAAATGAAAAATGTATGGCTAGGTATATAAAGTTTAAACCAAGGAACTTGAATGTTTTTGATCTTCAATCACTAAGTGAAACCTAGCACCTTAATCACAACATCATATCGCCTATAAATTGGAATGCTTAAATTTACAGATAACCTAACACCTACATCATGCCACTGCAAAAATGGTGGGAGAGTCTAACCATCAAAGATGCCAAAAAGGCAGACCATTTGACCATCAACCTTTGACATTTTAATATCAAAGAAATCTTCCATGGTCGCCCTCTTTCCTCGGAGACTCGAATACCCCCAACTAAGTTTGCCATCTTCACTGCATAGCAAACCAAGGGATCATAAGTTCAGTGCATATCTCATTGGAATCGGTCGTTTGATAGGCAAGGCGCAATTACAAGATCAAAGCATTGTGTTCTTTTCATTTTCATAAGAACAGAATAACAATTAAGCAACAGCTTTAAATAAATAGAAGCAAGTTTTATCCAAGCAAATCCGTTGAGACCTTTTCCACCCTCCACTGGCATAACCACCATCTTCATCTTCCGGATGCTTATCAACAACCGTCGCACGATTTTCCGATGCACCCGTATCGACCATCATGAGACTCCTTCACGATTCGAAGTGTGAACAAATCCAAGATTGGAAGGCAAACTCCTCCAGTATTGTTGATTTAGACACTTCTATTGATTATTCCTACATATCCAGCCTAAGCAATCCCAGTCCTTATATTATGGCTGCATACCATCGAGGCCAACAGCTGCATAATCACATCATTACAGAAATCAAAAGATGCTAACCTGATCCTGAACAGATTCAAAAGCAGTAACAAAGAACAGAAGCAGCAAAACTAAATCCTCGCATCAAAAAGCATTGAACATTAAAAACTTCGATTTCAGAAAAGATCTGAACAGGGGCGAAATTTAAACAAAAACAAAACATCCCTTTCGCTCTGATAGTCTCCAATCAAACGCTAAGGTAACATAAAACTTCCAACACCGACATGATTGAGGCAAGCAACACCTCCCGAAAACTAAGTGTAAGCTCGAAATAACGAAATGGGTCAGGCAAAGGATCAAATCTGTTATATTCATCCACCACCCATTAATTTACAGAAGCAATTTGGGTGGGCAAACATACAAAAAAAATCCAGAAAAATGGGGGGAGGGGGTTGTAATGCAAATAATCTCGAGTGTTGAACAAAATGGAAACAGATTGTGTGAGGAAGAATGGGAATTTCGGGGGGAAATCAGAAATGTTTGAGGTGGGATGAAAAGGGATGATGGGCGTAAAAATGATGATCCCATCTGGGGATTTTGGAAAGAAAAACAGGGGATGGGATGAATATACTTACTCGGTGGAACATGGAAGAATCGGGCAGAACAAAGTGGGAGAGGGAAAGAAAAAGGGGATAATCAAGAGAGAGAAGAGAGAAAAATATGGGGGAAGAGAGAGAAAGTGGTGGGCTTTCGAAGCATTGGCACCGAAGAGAAGAAGGCAGGTGGCAACATGGCGCCTACCTTGCGTCCACTGAATACTAATAATAATAAAGCTTTCCTTTTTTTAACTAATATTTTCAAGGATTTCTCTGTTCCTTCGTTTTCATTCTACACTTTCGAGTTCTATAATTATGGAGCCCATCAATCCTTCACCCTTTTTCTTTTTCTTTCTTTAAATCTAAATTAATATTTTATCTCTCATTACATTTTGTTTATGAGTTTGGGTGATAAATAGAAATGAGGTTAAGTTTATTGACCTCGCTTAATATTATCTATAATTCCATTCTACCAAAATCTTTTTTTCTTTTTTTTTTTAATTATAATACCCTTAATTGTTGATCACAAAATTTTAAGCGGAAGAATTTATTTTGGAAGCTCGTTAGGATCAGGACGCGGGAAGCTTGTCGTCTACAATCCAAAAATCGACGCATTATTGGCGATAGGCTCTTTAATGTCGTCGCCGTCCTTCACAAATCCTTAGAAGATGCAGAGTCCAACCCCTCCAAACCCACCTTGTTCGACCTCTGGCGGGGGAACCAACTGCGCCCAATTTCTCCATTCCGATCATCCCAGAGCCACACTGTGGTTGACATGGGACGACCCGTCATTCTTGACAAGAAAGTTTTATCAGTCATAATGGCAGTCTGGAGTTAGTTATATACATACCTAGCATTTATTATTCATAATGTTTGGAGGATAGAAGTACACTAGGTAAATGTTGAGGATTATTGAGAGTGAGTCTTTCTTGACTAATTTAGAGAATGATCCTGAGTTTATAAGTAAGGAATACTATCTCCATTGGTATGAAGTCTTTTGGGGAAGTCCAAAGCAAAGCCACGAGAGTTTATGCTCAAAGTAAACAATATCATACTACAAGGATGCAGTAATTTCTAACAGTAAACACCTTCCATTACAGAAGAAGCATATAATTTCTCTGAGTCCTTGTTTGTACAGATGGGCTGCATTCATGATGTACAACCAACCAAGGGGGATTGCTTTAATGGCGGACGAAGGCATGGCTTGGGTACTGGAGGATGGTGTTATAAGGATATTCATCCTGTTTTCAGCAAGAAAGAGCTCGTATCGCTTGGATGGAGAAAATGGTGCCATACGGTTAGTTCTTTTGTTCTTAATTTGAACTCTTAGCATCGCAACTATGCCTGGAATGTTGTTTGATTACTACATTTGGAGTAGCCTTTGTATCTCATGAATATGTTCGACTTCCTCTCATTCTTTTACTGCCTTTGGAATTTCTGATGTAGCCGTTGGGGTTTATTGGGTGTTGGGACGAGGTTCGCTTGGTTTCTCCTTTAGGAAAAAATACAAAGTTTAGTTTCTTTACCATTTGTGCTTCCCTAAGTGTATTTTTAGTGGGTCACTGCACTTTCAAGCCTCTGATACTAATGTTAGGAACTACGGATATCTATGATATTGTTCACTTTAAGCATAAACTCTCGTAGTTTTACTCCTCGTACCCACAGAGATATATTTCTTATGATCATTCTCTATGTCTCTGATGCTATGCTAGTTTCGTATGCTGATTTAAGATGTGATTTGTTTAGGATTCAGTCTTGCTCTCGCGAACATGTGGCTGAGAGACCTTCTGGAAAGATTCATTGTTTAAAAAAAGAGATGAGTAAAGGGTTGAGGTTTATAAAAAAGTGCATTGGAGAGCTTCATGTGTGGAATGTAGTAGTTGTGATATTGTAGCTGCGATCCAACTGGACCCTTTGTTCTGTTACATCTTAGTAGTTGATGAAAAGAAAAATTGTATTGAGTTTGACCAGAAGTTGCGGATCACGGCTATAGTTTTGCGTTCGCTCATTGATTTTGGCTACATTTTTCTAATAGCCTTTCATTTTCGCATCGGTTATACTGGGCCCTACGATGCAAAAAAGGAAACGCTTTACAAAATAGGCAGCTACTTTACTGTTGACATTCTTGCCGCCTTCCTCTCCCACAGGTTTGGACTATTAATCTCTGCCTAAGTGATGAATTTGGAACATTGATGTTCTATAACATGTGAGGAATCGCTTGTGCAGGTGGTGAATCTATTAGTCATTCCAGCAGCAACAAAAGGCTCTCATTTTAGCATGGCTCTGAGGCCATTGCAGTTTGTTCTTATAATTCAACATTTGCCAAGGGCGTTACGGATATACAAATTCTTAAAGAAAGTTAGATTGAGTTCTAGCCTTTTTCCCAATTCTACTCGGGGCAATGCTATATTCAATCTCTTCCTGTATATGCTTTCAAGTCATGTAAGTTCATCAAGTCGTTAAGGATTCATCTCATCATCTGTTGTATTCAGTTCAAAATGAGAGGGTTATTGACATTATACAAAATATGCTCTCAGTCTTCAGAACTTGTGTACTCTTTCATTGCCTTTGCCTTTATCTTAGCATTAACTCAGTATGTATCTGATCCTTCCAGGCCTTTGGAGCCTTTTGGTACCTGTTTGCTATTGAGCGTAAAGCAAATTTCCTGCAGAAAAGGTGTGGCACTGATCCATATTGCCCTCGGATACATAACCTCAAATGACAAAACAGCTTTCAATTTTGGAATATTTGATGATGCCTTAACTTCTGGCGTTGTCTATTCAACTGATTTGATATGTAAGCTCTGTTATTGTTGCTGGTGGGGTCTGCAGAATCTAAGGTCTGTATTCCAAAAACCCCACGTATTCTGCATTACTGTGTTACGTCTCTACCCATAATCTACGTTTACATCTAACTTTTTTCAGTTCTTTGGGACAAGGCCTCAAAACTAGTCAGCATATATGGGAAATTTCCTTTGGGAGCAATGATAGGCCTGGACAATGATAGGCAATGATAGGCCTGGACAATAATAAGTGGGAGCAATGATAGGCCTGGACATAGCATCAACACCAATGGGTTGCCATAAGGTACCAACTCCTAATGGAAACTCTTTCTATTGAGTCCTGCCATCTCTTTCTATTTAGTATATCAGCACATTCGAAACATGGACTAATTTTGTCGTGTGTTAGTAGTACTATTTAAACACTTTTAAAATCATTGCATCAGTGTATCAATAGTTTATCATAATTTAGTATATATAAGCACTTTTTAAGTATTCTTAATAACCTTTCCTCTGAACTGAAGGCCGTTGAGTTGTGGTCGCCCTGATTCAACTCCACAACTTATTTTTCCAATACTTTTATGCATACACTGAACAATGCACATCACCCACTTGGGACAAACCTCATTTCAAACAGCCAATTCCTTAGGATGAAATGCATCCTTGACCTGAACAAGCTGGGGCGTCCCTGTCCCAAACTGTCTTCCCCTCGCTTTTAAGAATGGATGGCAGCGCAAACGCAGCCTAGTATATCTGTATTGTTACATCAACTCAAGATGTAATCAAAATTATAACTCATAACTTAGAGAGTTTCTGAGTTGTTACCTCGGAGTTGTGGAATTTGAGTTGAGAATGTGCATCTCCTGAAAGGGTTGAAAATAGCATCAGCTTGTGAAATGCAGAAATGAAAACATAAGAATTAACAAGAAACATAAGAAACGCACTCACCCGGTCACATTGGGTTGTTGAAATAAAGTGTGTTGCTGCCTTTATCTATAAAAGAAATGGTAAGCAACGTTGTCTGAAGTAGGACCAGCAGCTTCAGAAGGAGAGTAGAGAAAGGGTAAGTTAAGTACCAGAGTGAGACTGAAATTCTGAAAACCAGCCAGAAACAACAGTTGAATGGCATTGAGGGTCTGAAGTCGGACTGAAATTCCACTTTGTTTGAGTTTCAGCAGCATCATAAACTATTGTTTAAAAGTGAGTTGTTGAACAAGCAATGGAAGATGGAAAACAGAGTTGGCAAACCACAAAGGGGACAAAACAAGGAAACGTGTATCTCTATCTGACACACACCGACAAGTGAAAGAGGCCAAATCCAAATATTTGCTTCCATGTTTAAGTTTAGCTCTAAAAAAAGTGTTATTTTCCTGAAAATCTGCAGGGTTAGGAAATGACACCAGAATTAGAATTAGAGCTTCCTGTTCTTCTGCTCATCAATGTTTTCAAAACCCCATTTCAGAAACATACCTACAGAACATCAAGAGAGAGAGCTCCGGATAAGAGAAATCTGAGAGCTCCGAAGTGGGGATTAAATGAACACAAAACAATGGTTTACTTTAATCTGCAACCTCTGCCACCCACAAGATCAAACTGCTCATTCTATTTGGAGTCGACTCTTAATCTTGCCCACTAATCAAGCTTAGCATTTTAATCATCCCAACTCTGTTCACGATCTTTCTATTTTTCATCTTACCAAAACTTTCCTTCATATAACTTATCTTATTTTGTATTCCTGACACATCTTATTAGAAAAGCTAAATTATATTTAATTACATTTATAATATTCAATTTTTAATTTAGCAAGTTAACTACCTAATTGGTATATGAACTAAATTTTGGATTTAGAAATAATTCTCAATTATTGTAAAGTCCCCACATCTTTTCATTAATTGTTACCAACATTTCATATGGTTATTCTTTGCATTTCAAGTCATAAAATGTTAGGTAGAAACAGGACTCATTCAAAAGGGGATTCCCTTGGTACCATTTTCCACCAACAATTGATATCCTAACCCTACATATACAAATTTCAACAAAGTTAGCTATTTTTGTCTACTCCAACAACTAATTATAGTGTATAGATACATGCTTTAAAGGCAGGTGCTATATGACATAAACAAGACAATTAATTTATTGTATTTTATTTGTAGGGCTATTTTTCAAACATTCTTCTACTCGAATTTTTTTTAAAAGGTTAGCCACCCAGATAATGACTTTCAATTTTTAAATGTAGCCTGTATAACCCTCTTTTACTCGGCTGTAACCAATATTAATGAGTCATAATAATGAAAGGTCTACCAAACCAATAGAAAAGTAAGAAATTGAATTGAATAGACATTAAAAAAAGAAGAAAAAAAATTGGGATTAGATACTAATTAGGTGATGGAGATTCCCCTTTGAGACTGACTGTTCTACAAGATTAGCAATGAAACACCGGTAGTAATATCATTCGATAGAAATTAAAAGCCATGGGATGAGAACAACAGTCTTACACAGATTTCCAAACAAACGAAAGGCACAGCCACAAGATGTAAGATATCAATATACATTCATTGAAGAACCAGTTATAAAAAAACACATGAATTAGATGTTATATTATCGCTGCAGTTTCTTGATTCAACAGCCATTTTAAGCATATCAATCAATGTCACACAATTACCTCTATCCACAGTCAAAATGAATCCACGGTGAGCTTGTTGTAAAGTCGAGTCGAAAAAGTCTACACAAAACCGTTGGATTCTCGATAATGCTATGGAAGCGAAGTTGAAAGAAACATGTTGCATTATGGAGAGGAAGAACTGTTTGTTTTCCTCAAATCTACTACTATTACACTGATGTTGTCTTTGCTTCCACGAGCCACCGCAAGCTCCACCAACACTGTTGCAGCTTCAGCGACATGGCTGCCATTCGCCATCTTTAATGCAATCCTCTTCATTTTGCCTCCAAAACATCTCCTTACTACGTTGCAGGCAATTTCGTTCGAAATCACGTCCCACAGACCATCACTTCCTAATATGAGGAACTCATCCTTTTCGGTTCGCTTGGTCACAGTCACTTCTGGTTTGGAGATTACAAATGGTTTAAGATATTCATCACCTGCAATGCAAAAGAACTCAGAAGATAATTTGGAAACCTATATTTGCAGAGAGATTTTCATAAGCACAATGACATCCAGTATCCTATAACAGGAAATAATTGATTGTAAGGGGTCATGTTTCTATGTCTCTTTTGGCTTAGGTATGAAAATTAGATAATGTTCATCACACAGAATGAGCTAGATAAGGAGAATTCTCTCACATTTGATATAACAGTTTCGAATTAAATTGTTGAAGTTCATGTCTCATGAAGGGAATTGAATCAAAATGAAATTATAGGTCTGTAGTCAAATTTTGCAGAATGTATATTGGGTTTTGAACATACCGATGGATCTTGAAGTGGCAAGAACTCCTAGCACGCGGTAGCCATTCCAGTTTATGACCCTCCCACCAGCAGATTCAATTCTCTTCAACTCATCAGCTCTGCCAGGCTACTCGTAATTTGGATTCATATAAGCTAAAAGTTGTACAACATTATTCAAAACAGTCGTAAAGCTAATCGTGAATTTCATACCCAAATATTGCAGGCATCCCTAAACTACAATGGTGAATTTCAGCATTCTCCAACGCGCAGAATAAGAACAGAAAAAAACAGAGAAAGGGCATCATCAAATCATACCCAAATATTCTAAGAATAACCATCACAAACAAGTGCTGAATCGATGCATTTTTAAACCAAATTTTAAATTGCAATCGCATTGTTCTTTCAGTTCCGAATTGATTCATTATCTACACGAGTTTCAACTGTAGAGTCCAGTTAATTTAAGAGTCAAAAAGTCTGCTACAAAATGGGTGTGATCCATGATGGAATCGTTTATTTAAATCCAAGTAGTTCCTTGACTTGTATGGTTTTCAATTCCCTTAATGACGTCCTTAGAATGAGTCTAATTGAGTAATTTGAACAGAGCCGGTGTTGAGATTGTGCACCTTATGATCGTTAGACAAGGGCAAGGCAATTCCATCCCTACCCAAAACGGCTCGACAATCGCCGCAGTTGGCCACCACCACCTCCTCCTTTCCGATCACCGCGGAAACCACCGCCGAGCCGACCGTCTTCATCACAGCAGCACCGCTACTCACTTCGCCGTCCATTCTCTCAAAGCACCTCTCCATCAACCTCGTCCACTCCGCCTCATCCATCTCTCCCCGAGCCACAATCTCCTCCGCCACAATCCGGTGCAAACGCTCGCGGCACACCTGCGCCACCTGCGCGCCACCGTGTCCGTCGTACACGGCGAAGAAATCGTACTTCTCATTATTAATCGCCGTCAATCCCAATTCCACTCTCACTTCATCTTCCATCTCCTTCCTCCGCCCTATGATCGACATCTCACTGTACACTCCACTATCAGACGCCGAAATGGATTCGTTCTCATAGTGTAGTATTGGATCACAATTCGATTTCGAAACTCCACTTTCGAGTAATTCGTCGCCCTCGCCTTCCTCTGCCGCGTGTACCTTCCTCTGCCATTTGTACCTCAGTTTACGAACTCTGAGCCGTCTCCGGCGTGCATTCTTGGTTTTAATCATGGTTGTGTGGTCGCACATTCCGGCGTCCGATGGTCGGAGGAAGTTGCGGGTGGTATTAGTGAGCTGCAGCTTGTCCAGTGAATGCATGAAAAAGTGAGAGAGAAAAAGAAAGGGGATGATTGAGAGGATTGAAGTGGCAGTTCAATGATAGTTCATAAGAAGAAGGAATGAGAGCCGTTGGATTGGGGAGTGTGTTCGGATGGAAGCCACCTGGGGTTTGCGGGGACCACAAGGCGTTGGATTTGATAACAGAGACGTGGGCGGCTGAGATTTACGGAGGCCACACGTGGAGGTTCGAGTGATTCGGTTCGGTGGGGTGGGCCGGGGAGGAAAGGAATTACGTGGCGTCTGGTTATGAGAAGGGTCGTTTTCAATTGGCTGTGACGGAAACATTGACTAAAAATGACAGGCGGGAAAGAACACGCGTCGTGATGTGACGGGAGATGATGTCGGAGTTGGACCTCGTATGGTGTGTGTGTGTGTTGAATTAATGGATTAGCTGTCCAGGTTTCAAATTCTTGGGTTTGTAAACACCATTTGCACGCAACGTATTCAACGATGAGTTCTTCAGATATTTTTCGCTCATTTAACTCCCATATTTAATTTTCTATTAACTCATAATCCCACTTTTAATGACCCTTTTAAAACCTAATTTATACAGTTAAATGGTTTTAAATTATAATCCATAAATATTTGATTTATGTCAAAAATAAAGCATAAACAAAGCCTAAATTAAAAACCCAAAGTATTTTTATTTATATTTTTATTTATATTTTTTTTACTCTTATTTTGGTCAAGTTTATTTGAACGGTTCAGATTTTTTTTCTTTTTCTTTTTTCCTTCTCAGAAAAATAGCATTATTTTTTTATTTTATTTTATTTTATTTTTAATTCTTTAGTGTAGCATCACAGCTACCAATTTTAATATTTTAAACTACACCAGAACTATACATTTTTTAATTTCTAAATTTGTATTAAACTGGTATGGTATTAAATTAACCAACCACGTAAACAAAGGCCACATCATTAGCTAACTTAACCTACTCTTACTTTTCCTTTTTCCTACTTTAATTTGTGGTCTTAAACACCTCTACAGGTAGCCATCATTCATAATACAACTTCCCTCCTTTTTATACCATAAAACTGATTTGAACTTTCCACCCAAGAACAACCACTAAATATCTAAACTATTGAACTATGTTGTGTTGGTCGGCTTCCCTAACTAAACATTTATTCATATCATATTTTATATCCTCACTTGGTTCATATAATTGATTTTATCACACTTACGAGTCTGAGTAATGTCCAAAAAAAAAATCTTTGAACGTGTACCAAAAAGCATGCCACTCCTACACGTCTCACAAAATTTTATGGTATGAATTTAATTTATATTTATATGTTCATAAGAGAGTGGAAATATCTTGTTTCTTCTTAAAATATCCCAGTGTTTTTTTTTTTTTTTTTGGGAAGGTTCACGTGTTACTGACGAGCAAGCTAAATTAAGTGTATTCAGAATGTAGTTGCAACAGAACCAATGGTCTCTTCTCAGAATCATTCACCATTCTTATCACTCAATTTATGAACGTTTCTAATATGGACTCATCTTTATGCATATGTACATCGCTGGACATCAAAAAAAGGATAAACACAATGAATCGAAAGTAGAAAATCAAGTAAATCAAGCCATGTCTACGAGGGGTTATCTAAATTAAAATGAATATGGAACACCCTTTAATCACCAGTTTTGGATGAAGAAGACATACCCGATTTCGCCTGTCGGTTTTCGACCACCCTTTAATCACCAGTTTTCGTTACTGCAGCATCAGTCATTGTCCAAATGATGGTGAAATCAGCTTCAGTTCTAAGTTTTAACATCATCACCAGTACTCATTGCAGGAGCATCTTCCATCCTTAATATGATGAAACCTGTTTGCATCTCTAACGATGATCTCTCTGCCTGTGGCCAATGAAATGTATTTGATTGCAGAGTGACAGTCCCCACAAATTCGTAGATTCTTGAAAACTCTGATGGGCTTCGACTTAGATATGCTAATAAGACCAAAGGCTACTGCTATTCTTTCACTGTGCTGAAACAAATATT